TAGCCTGTTCAATCAAATTATTCATCAAATCTGCACAATAAAGCAAAATAAAAAAATATTAAACAACAACAATCCCATTTCGGACATGGCCATGTAAAACTATCGTCGTTCAATATTCAATGTAGTGGAAAAAAAGATAAACCAAGTTTGAAGGGAATTAATCCTTGATCTCTGCTTTCACACTTTGAATCAACTGAATATTTTTATCGGATAAGCTTTGTAGAGCTTCAAAAACTGCTGCGGAAGCAAAAAAAAAACTTTTCTTAATTGATTTTCTTAACAACGGAGCAAGATCAACTTTGTGGAAAATTTCTGCCTTTCTTAATAAATTATTTCACTTCAGCTGCTTCAAATTCATCTCAAAATTGTCTCTTTAATGATGATTATTGCTCGGAAGAATGTTGTCTTGGTTTCAAGCCTAATTTAGATGATGAGAGATTATTTGCTAAGTTAAATATTTCTTGTTTGCTGTTGGCTTTGCATTAAAAAGCTTTTGCTTTACAATAAAATATTTACGAGTAGATGCCCACGAGGGATTTGCGAAAATTAAATTTCATGGATTTCATATTGCAAATTGCATAATTACCGTTGCTTGTGAAATAATTTAATAACAGAAAATTTCGATGTGAAGTTGAGTGATGTGATGATAACATAATCGCTGTCAACAACAATTTTATATCATACAGGAAAAAAGAATTTAACGAACAAGCATGAAATTAAAGCAGAATGATGAGCGTATCTACATACATTCATATTTAAATGAATGTTTTTAAATAAATTACATGTAAACATAGAAGTTTCAACACGCTTGGCTCTATTTGTTTCTCCTAATAGAAGAACTTCACCTTTACTTTCAGAACAGACATACGAAAGTAATTACAGTCACAATATTTACAAAGCAAGCAAAAATATATTCACATGAAAGGAGGATACGAAAACTAACAATAATGAATGCTTGGTTAATGAATAAGGTCTTGGCTCTCGGCAACCGTAAACCATTTTTCATGAGAGGAAAAAAATTATACCTGCTCACATATTCCTGTTATTACGTGTTATATAATTAATTAATACTCAATTCAGTATTGATTGAAGCTTACCATTAACTAAAACAAAGAAAGAGCTTTGACCATTGTTATTGAAACTCAGATATGTTTCCAAGGTTAAGAATGACATTAATAAGTAGATTTGTTAGCAACAAGAACGATTTATGTGAATGTTCATAAACACATAATTTTCCTTCCAACATTGATTTATTTAAGATTTATAAGATTTGAAATAGAGACGAAAAGTTTGAGCTCGAAATCTCATAAATATTGTGGTTTTATTTGAGAATCAGAGAAGAGCTTTAAAGATTAGATGAATATGAGTAAAAAAATATTGAGCACGATGGTCATGAACAATGGTTGATGATAAAAAGAATCCTCGCAATCTAATGGTACGAAAGAATAATTAGATTATCCTTGGAGATTTCCTTTCTTTCGGCAAAGTGCCCTCGACAAAAACATTTTTCTTGTCAACATCGAAATCAGTATCTTGAACACTCCACGTGTTTGTCATTTCGGATGGAAATCTCTTCTTCAAACACGTAGTGAGTCGTGCCATTCAATAGTGAAAGACATTGATTGAGAAATATGGTTTTTCTTTGACTCATATTAGATATTTATGATCCATTGGGAATCAATCGAACACTTTTAAAATGTGTTTTGTGTTTTTTCTTCGTTCGCCCCTTTTCCATCTCATTCCACGTGTTATTGAGTTGAGAGGAATCGCATAAAAAAACCTATTTACATTTACAAAACAAGAATTTTATTTTCCATATTTTAATTTTATATATTTAAATCAATGTTTACAACATGAATGCTTTTGTTGAAATTCTTAGAAACCAATTTCAAGGAAAATCTTGAAACAAAATTTGCGAATAAATAAATTAAATTCCTGATGGATGAATTGGAAGAAAAGTTCAAGAGAATTATCAAATTTGGTATTCTTCAAGTACAGTGAACTCTCGTTATAACATACTCTCGTTATAACATTTCTCTCGTTACAACATTCATTTCGAAAATAATTTCGAACGAAATCGCGTACAATATTTTCTCGTTACAACATTTCTCTCGTTATAACATCTAATGCTGTCAGTCCCTTCGAAAATGTTATAACGAGAGTTCACTGTATTCATATTTCCTAGAATATTTCTTTTAAATGATTCCATTTATTTAATAAGATTTGTATCCATTGGAGACAATGAGGCATTTGAATGAAAGTTGATGTTCAACTAATAGAATTATTTCTGGTTAATTATCTATAAATATTCAAATTAAATTATTTTTATCTCATCATGTCATTTGAATGATTTTTAAAATTCTAAACACTTTTCCGACTTCCTTTCTTTGTTTATTTTCTTCTTCCATTTTATCTTTTTAATAAAAAACGTGTCACAGAATAAACTGCAACAATAAAAAGCTTTCTTTTTTAACATTCCTGCTTATATCATTGGAAGCTATTGAAAGCGTCAGTTGTTTTGTCTCTCCAAGGAAACGAAAGACAAGACGCAGACGAAATCAAAGATCAAAAATATCGATTTCCTTTCCATTTTCATTCTTTTTTCTTTTCATATAAGCTTTTTATCAAAGCTTTACACGCATTGTCGAAATAAATACATTTTCCTATTCTTGTCTTTAACTAAAAGCATATTTGTGTATTATTTAAGCTTCTTTTTCTCTTTTCCCGCAGAGAATTTTATATTATGTAATCTGAAATATCGTTTTACTCCCTTTTCTCGAATTTCTATGATAAAACCCGATTATTTGATTGCTATCTAATGTTATTTTGAGTGAAGTTCCCAGCATTTTGTTTTCTGAACATTTTCATCTTTTATGCTGCCCTTTTTCAAACAACAATGGAATCTATAAAGAGAATAAAAATATTTCTCATCTCTTACCGCTGTTCATTACTGTCGACGGATAAAGAAAATATTTGAGTGTTGTTCTTGTGCTTTATTTATTTTCTTTTACAAATTTTTCCTTGGTGGTCTGGTCGCTGCTTATGAAGCTTTTTGAATTTCGCCAACGCATTATGATCCAATATGTCTTGGGAAATGTTTTTAAGTTACGATAATAAATCATCATTTTATTTTGAAGAATGAATTATAGAGAAGACGTTTGACTTGGATCTTTCCCGAAAATTATTCACTCTCCGCTCTCGACCGATTTTCTTAAAGAATAATGTTATTTCCTTTCTTTATTAGAATTAGAAAAAATGACGATGAAAGTCTAGAAACAGATAAGAAGAGGATTGCAAATAACTTGTGACAGGTGAGCTTTTTTTCTAAAATCAACAGATTCGCGTTTAAAGAAAGTATCTTAAGAAATTATTCATGATAAAAATGTGTTCTTCATTTATTACCGAAAACATTTTTTCTTCTACAAATATCTTGCGCTTAAACGCGTAATTTTTAAAGATAGCGAGAAAAATTCGAGTGGTTCTTTCTTGTATGCGAATAAAGATGATGATAATGAGGCTTAATTTAATTTATCATAAAATTGGTGCCTTCACTTCTCCACCCCCTCAAATAAGCTAGGTGAATTGAGTTGAATTGCCGTAATGATATTTCAATCGATTGGTTGATTTTAAATGGAATAACAAACTTTTTCATTACGAGTACAATCTTCCATCGCTTTTAAAAATAAGCGGAAAATGAAGGAATATCGGTAAGAAAATATGCTAAGCTTCACATCGTTGAGATGTTATCAGAGGTTCGGGACTTTCATTACTAAACATTGAGAAGTTAAATCGAAAAGAACGCACATTAGCATCAAACAGCTGGAAAGAAATTCTCCTTTGAGCAATTTTCAACATCAGATGCTGCCCTAGGTTCAAAGAAGAAGAGAAGAATATCAAACAAATTCAATTTGAAGAGAAATTTAATTGAATTTCCATAAAATCGGTTTTAAGTTGATTGGGCGAGAAGAATTTTTGTATAACTTGCCTTTCACTCTTATTCGTAACTTCATATTTAAGTCTTTCCACAAAGTGGATTACTCACTAGCATGAGGCAATTAGATCCGAATATTGCTATCAAAATCATTTGAGAATGAACTGACAGAGTCACCGCACAGCTTTTTGAACAAATATCTGAGTTGTAAAAGTTTTGGTGTACATGGAAAAGAGACATACGGAATTTCTCGAGTTGGAATAGAAATTTATGTTTCTAAATATGAAGCCTTTCATGTCATTGTGGGATTTAATATTTTGCTTTTGTCCACAAGAATATATTTTACTTGAAAAGCAAATGAAATTCGTTAAGAATGAACGAAAGATTGTTGAGCATGAGAAGGAAGAATGAATAAGCAAAATAGTAATCGCAATTATGAATCCAACATAGCAATTGAATCGTTACCATTGAGTCTAATGAAAAATAATAGAAAAGCAAATATATCACTTATGTATCTTCTATATCTCTCCATTAATCTTTATTATGCCAAAGCATTTTCACTTTGATGATACTGGAAATGTGAAAGGAAAAGAAACATAAATTTCTTTATGTCGAGAGTGAAGATTGAGGATAATTACGATATCGGCTTTAGCTTATATTTATTTGTTTTGATAAAATCAAAGCTGAATGCAAAAGAAGAATAAGAAGGAATATATCAATGCATTAGCAAATTGAATTGAGTGATTAAATAAACTTTTTCCATGCAGATGTCTAATTTTATTTCATTCAGAAGAATAAATTTAGAAAGCTCTGCGAATCTTCTTAAAATCCAAACGGACGTATTAAATATTACTTTTGTGTAACCAAAATTATGATTGACGATACACTTGAAAACCCAAAATTCGTAGATTGAGGTTGAAGAACTTTCAGTATTCTTTCCTTCCATTTAAATTGATGTAATTTTTCTTCATAACTACTCCCACAATCATTTCCAGACGTTTGACCCGAAAAACATTAACAAACCCTAAGGTTTAATGTATTCATCTACAAATTATCTGAATACTTGAAAATGATAAATGAAAACGAAGAAAAAGAAATTCAAAAACTTTCTACTAAACTTTGCCAAAAGGTAAAACAATTCTGAAAGTAGAAAAACTGAAATGCTTTTTCGTTAACTTTTAACATCGATGTAAATCGTGCGATTTTGTACAAACCACTTGAGTATTCCAATTTGCAAAGGATTAAAATTTTCTTCTGAATCCGATTTGTGTTCATAGTCCAATGAAGATAATTATTTTTTCTTCAGAAACCGAAAATTAGATTAAAACAAAGTCGTAATGGTATCGTAACAGCCACAACAAGCGAGACTTTTTTGCATCAACTTTTATGTCGTCAATTTAATATCATTAATAAAACTTTAATTGGCAAGGTTAAATAACTCATCAGTAATTAAATGAGAGAGAAATAAATCGCTTTATTGTGATCTTTTTTAACCATATTACAACAAACCCTTTTCATGCCTTCAAACGAATTCATTCAAAATTTGTGAATGGAATAAATTGTTGTAGAAACTCATTTACCTCGACTCAAATTTGAAATTTAATCGCTTTCATTGATTTAATTACACATCTTTACATCATTAAATGATCATTTTTAAGGTAAGTATTTTAAATCGAGTCATTATAAAAGGTTGATAGAATTACCAAACAATCATTACTTGAATTGACATAGCATTATGTCGTATTACATTACAATTTTAATTAATGCTTCGGATCGACTTGTGCGAATCACAAATTCATGATAAGAAACTTGGATTAATTTCAACATCAATTATCGAGACGAGAATTTTATTTAACAATTTGACACTTACAAATTGCATTTTCTTATTTAAGTAATTCTGTCAGAATTTGTCACATTACATCATGAATTTTTGATAAATTTGTTATTACCATAGAAATACTTCATTTGTGCGACGAATTTGTAATGCAAACATGGATGGAATTTGTGTCAAGCGAACGCCATAAATAATTCCACATATATCTTAGTCATTTCCATATAATTGTAACCTCACGATCACCGATAATTTTTGTTTTTCATTTTCCCATAGAAAATGCAATAATAAAGCAAAAATTGTCGTTTCACGTTTCAAGTTCAATTCTTGTCGCATAAGCATGAAAATGAAATTTATATTCCCAAAAGTTATCTTCTTCTGTTGATCATAATGATTTATGATTTGATATATTACCGATTGGGAAAGAAAAAGGAGAAATTATTTCTTATCATCTTTGCAGATAAACGAGTTAGATAGGGAATGAATTTGCTTATGTGAAAATTCGATAAACATTTCAATGAAAGCAAATGACAAACGGCACACATGACGGTCGAGTCAAAAAAAAATTTTTAAACTCATCTTTAACCCATCACGACACGATGACAACCGCAAATGAGACAGTAATGCTGTGAAAAATGTGGGAGGTTTGCCTTTTATATCCATTGAACATAAACGACACAAAGTTGACCTTTTTTTTTCAGAAAGCGAAATCCACAAAAGGTTTCGGCAGTAAATTTTGTAGCTAAGCGAGCATGATGAAAAATCGATAATTAAAATTTCTTTTACAACATTTTCCTCGCATTACTTTAACACATTTGAATAATCGTTATGCTTAGTTATTAAGTAGAAGAAATCGGGAGTCGTTTCTACTCCCGTTAATATTAAATGAGTCAAATTCATGAGGATTACGAGAACACGAAATCTCAAGGATATTTTTTTTGGATGGTAGCCACAGATTAGGACGATAAAAATTCATATGTAGGTCGATTTTGGCAACGCGACTGTCGCATATACTTGTCTGAGAAAACAATGAATGAATCGAGGCATGACCATAATGTAAATTATGAATTGAGTATTTTTGAAAAATTGGGAGCGCGCACGATATAATCGTGACAATAAATAACAAAATAAAATGTCACGAAATCGTTTCTGCAACATTTCTTTCTTCTCTGTAAAAGTTTACGCTAAGGTTATGACACGCTGCCTTCGATTTATTTTCATCTGTGAATTCTTTAAGAAGCTTCAAGCCAATTGACAAAATTCCAGAAAGATTTCATTCTACGTTCAAACTTTATTTATGGGTTTTCTTCACCTCCACTGACTAAGGTGAAGAGTTTTGCGTGTGAAACACGTTTTACAAATGATGGCAAGGTCAAGAATAAGTCGATGTGGAGACAATAAATTTGGTCTTAAGTAGAGAAATTTATCTTGAGAGACCTCTGCAATTTTTCAAATTATATGGAATAAATCTCCTGTCCAACACCTAATAGAGCCTGTGAGAGTGTTCGAAATGCTACAGTGAACTGGGAGAAGAACTTGAAATACATAAGTTTAAGAAGAATGAAAAGCTACTCGTAATGTAAGTAAGGCAGCAACTTTCTTATTTTATTTTTTTTCTTCAAGGGTTTCGCAAATCCAATCTAATCGCTAAGATATAAATTACGAATAGGTAAACGACTCTGCCTTTCAATTAATTTTATTTCGTGATTAGTAGCAATTAATTAGATGAGTAGAAACGTGGGGGAAAGAAATTTTCATTAGGAACGTATGTGAAAAGTGGGTTTGTGTTGTTATTGTTGTTATTGTTGCTAATACACAGGAAACAGTGCTTGTTAGAGAAAAGCAATTTATGGTTGTTGTTTGCTGCCGCTTCGACTGATAGCGGAATTTGTTCAACAATCTGAATAGCTTTGATTTTATGTAGAAATGTATATTTGCTGTTGACTCGCCACAACAAACATAAACTTAAGAAATTTATTTACATGATGACGCGAGACTTGAACCCACCTCAAAGTTTAAAAGAACTTTTACCTTTAAAGTGGGTGGTGAAAGTTTCATAACAATTGAGTTTAGTAGCGAAAGGCAGTGACTTGCAAGCATAAATTTGCACTCTATCTCATTGTCACATCTTAACGTATCTTTAATGCATGCTTTACTTAGCGAGCTACTTTTCATTTTTCGAAGCAGCACCACATGAAATCGTAGAAAATGAGTTTCCCGTGCATTTCACTTTTTAATGTATGCAATGCCTTCACACTGATTTCTCGTGGATATTAATTTAAATATTTAATTACTGAAAATTTAATCATTCGTTTAATCCACTGATGATGTACAGCTGTTACACACTCGATGCATAGTTAAATCAATTAATCAAATAGATGAAAAAAATGTTGATCAACCCTTTGGTGAAATGAAAAATTATCATCAGGTGAATGAATTCGATTCGATATCAATTGAAATTAATTTATGTTGTCAGCACCTAAAAATTGAAAGCCATTGGGTGGAAAATACAAAATAATCATTTCATCACTTCTCTCTCAAATGAGTTACATTTGTTGTATTGATTTTTAATATTCCATCATCATCGATACAAGATCAAATGATGATGAAAATGTTTGATGAATTTTCTAAACTAAATTGTATCGAGTTGTGTGCAACATTGTAGCATTAACAATAATTTGATGATAAACAGCTTAAATATAACCGCAGCACATCCATTTGTGTGTCGTGCATGTTTCGGTATTCTGTCATGTCAGGCCATACATTTCATTGCTTGATTATCATTTATTTAACAGCAAGACCAAATGAAAAGGAATAGAAATGCTATTTCAGTTAAGGGTGGGTATAAAATAAGTATCTGTCTGTTTGAGATAGTTTTATATGCTAAGCCAAATAACCAAATAATCGAATTGGAAAAAAATATCATCAGATATAATTTTATTCTACTTCTTGTTGACAAAATTTATTTTTATGCTGTTGGTTTCAACATGGAAAGACACTCATGCAACCATAATGAAAGCGTCAACCTCAATACTCGCTGATTATATAGTCTCGCTTGTCGTTGAACCTGATTAAATTGCATAGAAAAGATTGCGATAGCTGTTAAGCTTCTTATAAATATTCTCCATTTTGTGTATCTTCTATATTGTTACGGCATCTCAAATTTTCTTCGCTTAAAGAATGTATGCAAACAGACATTACCTAAGAATTTCTATGCTTCTTCTTCTGATAAATCGTGGGTGTAGAAAAGAATCAACTTAGATATTCATTCGGTTCTCTTATAAATCATGAAGATGAAAAAAAGTAATAAAGAATGAAATCTATTCGAAAAGAATAGAAAGCTTTTACGTTTTATTCTTACAGTTTCTATAAATCGTGAAAGATGAGGGCTGACCACTGCTGGTACATATCAGTAAGTTTCTCGTTCCGTGCGATGTTAATGTAGTTTGATTTAGGGCTTTTCTTCTTTCCTCGCAATTACAAATCTATTGTTGCTTCTTCTTTTATTATATTATATTTATTTTCTTTGTAAGCTTACAACTTGTAAGTGAGAATTACAAAACTGTTGTTCATTTACTTGAGTTCAGTTCTTTGGGTCAATTTTCGCCATATGTTACGACTTACACTGTTGAATAAAAGACAAATCGAAATTTATGTTTGTTCTTTATTTTTTGAAGCTTTCTTTCTTTGAAAGTAAATAAATAAAAGAATTTCTCATTTTCTATTCTGTAATAAATAAAATGAAAGAAATTTCAAGTGAATGGCTCAGAGAAAAGTCATTAAATGTGCTCCATGAATGCACCATTCGCTATTTGTTCCAAGTAGATATTGAACTTGTTTTATAAAAGTTTACAACCAACTGTTGTATTTACTTTCAATTCTCATCTTTCGACATCTTCGGTCTTTTTTTCAATTCAATTTAATCTGTCGTTCGACGAACTCAAGCTTAAGATGGTGTTGTCACATTATTCGAAAAAGATGATAACAATAAACCGCACACAATCCGATAAATGAATTGCAATTGCCATTTCGTCTAGTCCAAATCCTCTTAGTGTGATGAAAGAGTGTTGACAGAAAATATTATCCTCAGCACAATCACCCACCAGAATTATGAGCGAAAATCAGTTTCATTGTTGTGTAAATGCTGGATCGTAAATTCTCATGAATGCGACATCTCTACATGCTCAAAATGATTGTCGCTTCACTGTAAGCAATGAAATAATTCTTCCTTGCATAATTTTTGTCTCTGCCAACCACCCACCCACTCCTCACCTACTCAACCTTTCACTTTGACATTCCCCCTTTAGGCTTCATGCAAATTTTATCAGAAACTGGTTCAAATGTGCATGCAGTTGGCATTCACTACTCATTTCGTTTGTGTTAAACTTTTATTTATTTTTACATTTCAGATTAAATTTTCATTCATCTCTATAACATTGCATATAAACATACAGAAATATTAAAATGAAAACATGAAAAAATGCTCATAGATACATAAATACAACGCAATTTAACCAAAAGTGGGTGAATAATGAATTTACCCTCTCGCAAAAGTTTTCTGTACTTGTTTGAGAAGCTTTAATAAATTTTAATTTTCATCATGTTTATTCAAACGAAAAGGAATTCTTTTTGCAAATTCAAAAGCGATGTAGAAATGTCTGCGTAAACTTTAAAAGAGGTGAATGATGAAGCTTTCAGCTTTAAACAAATAAAAGTCAATTAAAAAAGAGGATGAAAAACATGAGATATTAATTAAAAGCGTTGACTATCAAGGAAAAAGCATTGACGACAAAGCAAATAAAAATGAACTTTGGATTAAAACATTTCATAAATAAGAAATTGTTTATAATTTGTTAAAGGAACATTTTAACAAGCAATGATCTTGTTATTAAACAAACTTCATGACTCAGTACAAAACTTTTTTTTCTCGTAAATAAAAACTGTTTTTAATTGCACGTTCATTTGAAAACTTTCTTTCCTTTTTGATGAAATACTTATTTAGGTATGTTTAATTAACGAAGAACGACAACTTTGTATTATTGCTTGGAAATGAAGTAACATTTTAAAGTTTTTCACGCCATTTTGCAGTTGGGTTCTACTTTAATGTCACGACCTGGCACGACTTCAAGAAATATGAAATTCTTCCTGAAGTTTTCCTGAAAAAACAAGAAAACGCCAAGAAGTTTCTTCTACTGGAAATGCGAGAATTGTTGCAAAGAAATTTGCTATTGTTGATTCTTTCATTCCTTTCATCTCGTGTTGAAACAGTCAAATAACATTGAAGTGTCATTGGATTTGTAACAGAAGGAACGGAGTTGTTTTTTACCAAAGCTTTTATTTAATCTCTACTTAGTAAGTTAAGCAGGTAAAACAAATTATACTGGAGCAAGTAGTATTTTTCACCTCATGGGAAACATCGCGGATGGTTAATAGGAAGTTATTCATAATTTAAGGCGGCGAACAACTTCTACTTTGGTTGCTGTTGGTAGCTGCGGTGTCAAAAGAAAAACAAACAAGATTTTTACGTGCTGGCAAGAATGAAAGTTTTACATGGAATTATTTTTCTTAAAGCAAATGGTTCGGTTTAAAAACTTTACAACTAAACTATAGAGAAGAGCTTGAGATTTCCATACAATAATTTAATTTACTTTTTTGCCATGCAAACGAGGGAATGAAAAAAGAACATTTTTCCTTATAAATTTTCAAGTAATTTTTTTGTTGAGATTATTAAAAAAATTCAGAGCAATGATAAAAATTCAATTTTTCTAGGATTATTTTAATCCAAGTTTTTCCTCTGCTTATCTTCCATTGTCACAACATTTCGCATGTTTCGCTACATTCTTGAAATTTCAAATTGAAGAAAATAAATTGATGCAAATTTAGCGTTGGCTTTATTGACATGAATTGTAAGCTGACAAATGATACGTTTGGAAAGATGGCATTTCTAACTATCATTGCGATGAGGTCTATCGAAAGAAGGAAGTAAAGTAAGGCTGGCAATGATTTGTTTTGCATATTACTCAAATTATATTCAATGGCACGTTTTGACGGTTTGCCTTTAACTGTCACGTACCGACACCAATTTTCTTTCACAACATTAAACCTCCTTCCTCATCTACCTTTTTCCCTTCCCTCCAATTCCTGTTTTCCCATTCAAACCTTTCACAACAAAATTTCCTTTTCATGATGTTTTAAAAGAAATGTGACAAAGTCAGTAGTGGCTTTATAATTCCAAATAAGAAAATAAACTTTAAATTCGCCTTATACATACATAAATAGATGTGCATATTACGAGTAATAAGACAAAAAGCCATGTAGCATATGTTCAACAATAGAAGAAGAAGACCGTCGTCTTATCTTAAAAGATGCCCTCACGTATCATTCCTTTAAACGAAATAAAGCAAGTTGAATAGCGTCGTTTAAAGTTTGAATTTAAAATTGAGTGAACAAAAGCTCAGTTCTGAAACATGCTTTTAAGTCCTACATATATCTATATATCAGTAAGTTAAAGAAAAGGAAGCCTGGAAGAAAGGAAACAAGTTGTTAAATTTTGAAATTCCATTTTATTCTCTTTTATTTACATAACATTTCTATATAGATGTATGATTGTATGTATATACATGAAGGAATGGTAATATCATCGGGGAACTTACTCGTAAATACAATTTACAACATTATCAAGAATGCTCCTTCTCAGCAGTTCCATTCAACACAATGTTAGCACACCGCATACAGCAGGTATTCACTTTATTCACCGGTTGGTAAAGCACAACTGCTTAATCAATTCAAAATTTTCCATAAACTTCTCAACAACTCACTCACACCTTACATCATCTCCTTAACGTCATAACGTGATTTGAAATGGATTGAAACAGTTCACACATTGACGGGTCTCACCGGTGCAGTTGGGAATTGAAAACTTTCGTAGACGTTTCATTTTATGTAAGGTTTTATCTTACAGTTTTATCACAGTTGACATATTTTCTATCGTTAGATTTAACAATTTATGTTCTAACATTCTAAAAGGAGTCGTTTCTTCATTTCGTTACTTGATATTGATGTCAAGATGATTGATTTACAGGAAAATCATTCAATTAAATAAAGTTTATCTTATAATTATGTATGTTTATCGATTATTTTTAATTGTAGATATTTGATTATATATTTTCATTAGAAAACAGTACAAAACGTTAATTAAAATATAAATTGAAACTATGAATTATTTATGAATAATTGACATCACATAAATTATAGAAACAGAGATATTTCATAACGTTGATATATGTTCTGGCTTCAGATTAATTAAAATGCATGTCTCACATGCAGTTTCCAATTTAAACATGAAACTATTTCAATTAGCAATGCTTCTCATTGATTCATCGGAAGCAAATAACTCGTACATGTCTTTTCTGTTGAGTTTCTTGAATCACGATTCAATCTTTTTTATTCAAACTTAAACTTCTTCTAATTTTAAAGAACATAATTCATTGGGTTTTCTTTCGAGGGTTTTTCACTGACTCGTTTCACTTTTTACTGTTTCCTTGTTCGATTTCTGTTATGCAATTTCAATCATGATAAACTTTACAAGTGAATTGGGTTTCTAAAAATCTTTAGTAGAGAATTGCATGCATGCATCTTAGAGAGAAACGACTTTCTAAAGTTTTTGCTTGATAAGAATGTTCTCTATTTGTTAAAATCATTTTGGTTTGGTATGAGGAATGGCCATTATTTGTAATGTACATGAATATATGAATAAACTCATACAAAAGAACTGTGCAATCAACTAAAAGGTTAAAAAGTTTTTATTCCTCCATCTCTGCATTTGTTCTTCACGAATAAACGTTGTAAGCGATCTTAAATGAATAAAAAAGTTCTCAATGCACATTCACCGTACAACGATATGTAATGAAAGTTTAAATCTTCAGACTGAAAGAAAACAGAGCTTCAAAATATATAAAAAAAAAATCTTTATTCGCTTGTTAAGAACCAGCATTCAACGAATGAAAATTTGTTTGTAAAAATGAATTCAAAGCTGAAACGTTTTCCCAAAAGTATAAACCAAAAACAATCACGAGAAATGAAAATAAAAGGGAAGGAAAATAATAGAAAAGTCATAAGACTTCTGCTTGCTTCACCAAATAGATTTGATTTGACTTGGTTTGGTGCAGCGATGTCGATTACGACTTGTTTCAATTTTATGTGATTTTGATTTTCATGAAATTCATTGGGAAGTAGTAAAAAATTTAAGAATGAAAGCAACATCAAATGTACTGTGAAGTTCTCAATCCACAATGCTTTTAATTCACCTTGGAAAACTTTCTATCTGCGATGTGTTGGTAATTAATTATCACATTCTCTCACCTCGTAAAAGCTTTTTGTAAAATGTTTTTAACATTCTTCGTTCATGCAATTTCAGTAACTATTTCAGAACATTTCTTCGTCGAGTAGTGTTTGATACAATCAAGGATCCAATTAATATAAAAAAGAAAGTTGTCAGTGATTAAATGTTGTATTTTTTTAGCTTAACTATGTCAAAGACCTAGAATTGAACATTTTTCTTTAATTCTGCTATTTTTACTTCTCTTTTTAATCTTGTTTTATTTTAACCTAGTTAAGACTTGAACGAGACATCGGAAACAAACTGCATTGGTGTGATTGATATAAAATTTCCATCAGGGACATTTCGTGATTTAATTCAATGAGAGAAACTTTTTCTTTCTTGACTCCTTAAACTTTCTTTTATCATTTTCATTCAATCAGAATACAATAAAGAACTTTCCTCGTTCTACTTGGCGTGTGAAAAAATTGCTCAATTCAACTTCATCCATATTTCAATTTTAACTCGATATTCTGCCTACTTTCCTTTCCTTCTTCTTCTTTTTATGTGTTTTGAAAGTATCGATTCGGTGACATAATCTATTCTTATGAATGGATAAGGAAAGCAAGTAAGGAGAAGAGTTCAATTCAAACATATTCATTATGTATGCCTGGCTCTCACTCATGGCAATCATCTGATATAAAAAATATTAAATGTGCTTGTAGCTAACAGACAAAGAAGAATCGTTGAAGTTCTTAAAGCTAACAATACTTGTATAGGATACGAGTATAGAATTAAATTGTCAGAAGACTTAATGTGCCAGTTGAGGCTATTTGCACTGTTGTTGCCATGCTTCATTGCTGCTTGGTGTTCACCGCCACTTATGACATGTACGAGAATACTTGATGCATCTAATTAATTAACAATGAGACATGTATCAAATTTGATATTTAAGACAAAGTATAGTCTTTAAGCTTTCCAAGAAGCGATAAAACAATGAAAAACGATGTCGTGTTACTCGTTCCATTGTTACCTCCTCAAATCACTCACCTGAGTTACTCGGTGCACAAGTGTAGTTGCCACTATCACCAACTGTAGCTCGAGATATAATTAATTTGCTCGTTTTTGTATTCCTATCAGTCTGAACATTAATGCCTCCACGCTGTGAGTAATTTATGACACGTTCTCCTTTGTACCAATAGATGAAAGATGGTGGGTTTGATATCTGAGAAGCTACACAAGTTAAATTGATATCGCTTCCACTTTTCACAAAAAGCTCTTGATTTCCAAGGATTTTAGCTTTAGATACTTTGGTTTTGACATGAAATGAAAAATTAGCGATCAGACACATTAATTATTATGTACTTAATTTCATAAACCTCAAAGGATTGAAATTTATTTAAAGAGCAAACTCAAACAGTAACAAAATATTAAACGAGATAACGCAGTAAAAGCGAATTTTACTTAAGGGAGTTTCCATTTTTGTTTCCACACTGAAATCACAAAAATATTTAATTTTCCTAGCAGAGCGGCTATCGCTTCAAAAGTAATCAAAAATTCAACCTTCCTACGAACATTTCTCTTTATAGCAGCTGAAACCTAATTTGTCAAGGAACAACAGAGAAAGGATTCATTGCTGGAAGCTTCAATAAAGTAAATAAAAAAGTTGTGAAGCCTCTTTTTAATGTTTACAGCAATAAATTTAAGTTCTTAGAAAAGTTTTCATTGAAATGATAAAATTTTTGATTATACTTTGAAATGTTAACTTCTGTAATAAAGATTAATTATGTAATCTCATATCAAAATGTAATTAGAGGCAAAAAATTCTTTTTGCGAAGTTGGAGTTTACATTTTGGTAACTTTTCTACGTATTGTTCATCATCATCATCTAAGACGAGTTTCTTATTAAGAGACCCTCTACATGATTACGTAATGATTGCGCAATTGTCGATAACAGATTTGAACTGGTGAAACCGCGCATTTTGCGTGCACCCAATGTCTATCTGAAGATGACATTAGCTGAAAGGATAGCGTTTAGCCGATAGCCATTATGCATTTGTCAACTGATCCAGCCTAAGGCTGGAGATGATTGAATTTTCTAACAACAAAGACAACCCCATCTCAATTCTACGTATTGTTATTGTTAGGTAATAAACGAATAATGGAGAAAGAATCTCGAATTTCGAATATCAATAGAATGGAAACTCCTTTATCTATGAACTTTCTATTTGCACGCGAATAATTCTACAAAAGCCAAGGGATATTATGTCTAAAATTGAAACGAGAAACGAGAAGTTTTGTTGTAAACAAGCAGATGAAAGTTGTTGCTTTCGAGAAAATTTTGATTCAATTTTCCTCGTAGAACGCTTGTTTTTTCAAGAAAATGTAAACAGCTTTTATTATCGAACTCACCCACAACATTCAATCGGTATGCTTGACTTATTTTTGGCTCCGTTGAAACTTGGCATTCATAGACGCCAGAATCTCGCGGTTGTGGCGACGTGACTCGTAACGACCACTCATCAGAGCCTTCGGTGTGAATCGCTTGGTAACGTTGGTCATTTGTGTATGTCAAGATGCCAATAGTCATAATGTGCAAGTCACGTTTCCGGATCCACGATACCTAAAGTTCTCGTTCAACCATTCGAGTTATGATTGAGACGGGTCGTGAAAGAAAAAAGAGAGAAAAGGACGAAATTTGAAGTAAATTGCAGTGAACCCTTTTTCCTTTCTTTCTGTGTCAACTTTTGTCCATTTCTTTTTCGATTCTTCTTCTTGTATGCTTTGTAACAATATTTTCACTTGGAGACAGTTAAACACACTTTTTGCTTGACGACAGTTTTAGTTCCGCAAACATTTTCTTACCTATAAATGTGCTGCGTTATGAATTTTTTTACTTAATGCACTGTCATTCTACTTTACTTCCGAACTTTTTTTTATAGAAGTCGTCAATTAATGAAACATTTATTAGAAATGCTTTTCGTAAATTATTATTTACAAGAGCTTTGTCATCAAGAGCGAGTGAAACGTTCATGTTGAAAGCAGATAAGAAGATGAACGAGGGTTAAGTTGAAAGTGAGTGGAACTTACAGCTCTATCGCCAAGATTTCTCACACGACAATGAAGGATCGCTGTTTGTCCAATTGTCACAGTAATATCGCGTTTTGTTGTATTGTCAAAGTAAGGTTGTGCATAATTGTCGTCCCAGTAAGATGATGGTGCATCAGCTCTATTCGATGTTATTGTCACTGAAACGAAAATATTTCTCCATTTAATAGTGCTTTGATTTCACAATGACAAAGTTTTAAGATCAAGCAGAGAAATTAAAATTCAGTGATTTATTTATTGTAGAAAATCGATTTAAATTTAAACACTTAAAAGAGTGCAAATGCTTATCAACCTCAAAAGAAAAGTTTTTATAACTTCTCGAGTTGAAAGCTTCTGTGCATTTTTATTTTAGTTTGAATGATCATTGTTCAGTTTTCATTGTTCTGCAGTCAACTTATTATTGAATTGACTTTAGTGTCATAAAAAGTTAGCTAATTCTTTTTCTGGAATTTATTGAGTGATCGTAAAATATTCAAAGCTCTCAAAACTTTTCCTCCTTCACAAATTTTTCCAGTTTTGCATTGTAAATTAGTTGATGAATTGACTTGTTTGTGGATGTCCATTTAATTTAATTACTCATTGAATGGCACTCACTATCAGTAAAATTATTTGGAAAATAATTTTAATGGAATTCTTTTTGTCATGAAATGTTAATTTGTCACTTGGGAAAAAGTTGTCAACAAGTGTCTTGATTATCTTTTACTTGATCTTTAGTGATTGATTTCGGTGGGATTTCATTTATTTACATGGAAGATTAATTACTGAAATAAATCTAAATGAAGGCTTGAAAAATCGATTTTCTCCAAGAATTCTAAACCGGTAAAAGTATTTTAAAATCATTCTTCAATTTCCCATGAAAGTAAAGGTAAGACAGGAAAATATTTGACTGAAATCTAAAAGGAACTCAACGTAACTTTGAATAATTCATTACATATTTTAAACAGTCACCCTTTTTCATCGCACGTATATCCCGAATAGCACACACGTGTCATGAGGACGACTTAAGTTGTCCGTATGGCAAATGTCAATGTTTTTTTAAACTTATGGCATACCTATGTCCGATTTAAATGCGCCATTGCCCTGTTGTGTTATTCGGGTATAAATTGCTTTCCATGAAACATTGACACTGAAATGTTATTGAAAACATTTTTCGCATACTTTTATTATTATCTAATGGGAAGAGAGATGTGACAAAAGATGACGATGAAGTTGAAGCTTTGGAAAGTTTTGAAGGAGAAAAGAAGCTTCATGTGCTTAAATCCCATTTCACAATAGCAAGAGTCATTATCTTAAAAGTTTAAAGTATTCGGAATATATTAAGAAACGGAGATAACTTTATTTAATGTATTGTTTTGGAAGAATAAACTTTTGCTTTGTTTCCGACTATCTACTTAAACATTCGTCTCATGATTCATGAGTTTTCGATTTGAAAATAAGCAATTCAACACAATCAATAAAAGTTTTCTTCTTTTTTTATGACGGAAAAAAAAACTCTTCTCATCATTTCCTTTAGACTAAGTTCGCTATTTCGAGCATAAATATTTTGCTCATAGAAATTGACCCAGTTTTATATTATGCAAACGATCGTTGATATATTTTCTAGCGGATAAAAAATTTATGGAAATTTGTTTTATCGGACAAGCTTTTCATATTTAGTCCTTTATAAGTTGTAAAAGCTCTTTTAATCTAAATCTATCCTTAGGATACTGAGAAAAGTAACAGAAATTTAAATGTTAGAAGGGAACTTTGAAAACTTTCAAATGAATTCGTTTTATGACGTAAATAATGTGAGAGAATTTCATAAAAGATTTTTATTTTCAAGAAAATCGTTCGCAATGTTTTAAAACTTATTACTTTGAACATCATAGTCAGTGAAATGCAATTAAAACACTTGATTCTCGTGTGGTCTGCAAAATGATAACATAAGTAAAAGAAAATGTCAACGACAAACATTCATTTTCACTTACCGCTTAAAAGTAAAAAGAGAATACAAAAATCCAATTTGAGATACTCCAGTAGAAAGTTCATTATTTCCAGAATAATTCTATACGCTTTGTCGGATTATCGCTTAACCAGCATTTTTTTAATACACGAATTTTCATTTTTCACAGTCAATTCACGATGTCGAACATCTGACACATCATTTCTTTTAAATGACTCATCATTCAAAGACCTTCAAGCCTTTTACAACACGAAAAACAACAAAAAAGAAACTTTGTTACCTCCAACTCTCGGGGTTAGGCCTGATGAGACGGAGTAATTAGACACATGGTAATTTAAGAGAGAAATTAATTAAAATATTAACATCAAGCAGTCCTCTTTCAACAGCTCCACGTAAACTCATGGATCGCGTAACGACTAATTAAAAATTCATTGCTGCCATATGTTTCAGAAAGCGTTAAACAAACATGTTTGTCATACGCCTTTTGTATCCTTCTTTTCTTTGTTTCTTTGTCGTACTTTTACTGTTCTAAATTATTCCATTTAATTTGTGCTTTAATGGCGCAACGCTTGTTTTAACGGTGAAATAAATTCACTTCGATATGAAAAATTACAAGCTTTGTCATAGATGGGAGTCTTCACTTCATATTTAATCTTCAACACTTTAAAACGTTTTTGTTTGTTAAGTTACAAATTGTTATGTTTTAAAACATTTTCAACATGCTCGTCTTTTCACTCTCTCTTACTTAGATAAAAGAAAATTAATTGAGAAAATACGCGACTTAATCAATTTTAATGACATTGATTAAAACGTGAATATTGATTCGAATATAATCGCATTTCTCATGCTCAATTTGAGTTCAGTTTCAGCTTCATTCTGATGATTTTCTTTCGTTCATCAATGTTTCAGCGTTACCTTTGTAAATGCTTTCAACTAACTACACCGTTCGATTCTTATCAATTATCCATTAGGTTTATGAAAAAAGCATTGTATTCCAATTATCAATGCGTAATTTGCAATTAACAGTTGGAGATAAAAAAATCCATTATCTATGTTGCTGATGTTTGGGTTGTTATTTAAAAAAATGTATCAACTAGCTGTTTGGAATATGATTACAGAATGATAAAATTCGTTGCTTTCAATCGCGTGTTTTATATCCGACTAAAGGAAAACTCGATGAAGCTTTTAACTTCATCGAAACTTTTATTAACAACTGCGCAGTGCAAATGTTACTCTCAACAGTCATGCGACGGAGCTAAATTCCCCTCATGCTCAATAAATGAGAGTGAAACATCATTGCGAAAGCTTTTCATGTGAAGCTTTTGAGAATGAAAACAAAAACAATTTAAAGAATCGTAAAAATTCAAATTTACGATACTGAAAACAAATTAAGGATGATGTCTATTTTTAAATGTTTAACAAGAAGTAAGAAAAGAAAGAACGCGATAGAATGTTGTCAACAAAAGTTTGGTAACAAGATTAAGAAATAAGTTTGAGATGAAGATTGAAAGAAGGCGCACCACAACTTTTGTGTTATAAAAACGCGTTGTTTTGTCATTTTAATTCTTTTTTTCTTTCGCTAACAAAACTGTTTTTTAAACATTTATATACTTTGTTATTTTATGAGGCTTTTTTAGTTCGTTCAGATAGTGATGGAAATATGCTTTGAATTATTAAAAAGTTGTCTGAGAATTCTGTCACATCACATCATTCAATGAACTTGAGAGGCTTCTTGCTCCATGGTTCATTGAGAGAAAAAAATTGAATTTTATTTTTCTAGTTCCTTTTATTCACTCGACATTGAATGGTGAGATGCAATTAACAAGATAAACACTCTTGAATGTAAAAAAAAGTTCCTTTTCTCCCTTACTGATTCCATTCACAATTTTTCCTCATGATAAAATCTTAAACGACGCCCACACTTTTGTTGTACACTAAGATTATCGTCACAACTTACACCTTACAGAAGTAATTGTCGAATTGCTTTCCTGATTCAATCGAACAATTTCGTGAGAATTTCTTCATGTCAAAGAAATTAGTTTTACTCCATTATTGTGTTAATTTTAATTTATTATCCTAAAGTATAGTTTATGGCAGCAGCAGGGAAAAAAACGAAAACTACTCTCGTTCGAAAAGAAAAAGTTGAGGAAACATTTAGTTTCTTTCTTTGTTCCATTCTTCAACTTTATTTTTTGTTTTCATTCGTTTCAACAAAAAGTATTTTCCACTCAAAGAACTTATAAATACTTTAAGATTTACTAGGTGTGGCATTTCTGTTCTGTTTATGCCCCTAACTGCGGCTGTTCCTTTGTACATGTTCATCTTTCATATCATCTTAGCCAAACTAAAATCTTTGCTTCGCTTGTAATAATGTAAAGTGTGCTTGATATTGATTTAAATAAATTATATTTGAAAACCTTTTCGTTAAAACGTGAAAGACAAACATGCAAAGTTGTACTTAAGAGACCATCTTGGAAGATAAATTAAATATTTCGTAAGGGTCGATTTGAGGGTAAGGGGGGAGGAATTAATGAAGATTTCTAATGTTCTTCAAGAATTTAATTATCATTTTACTACGCTTCGCTTCTTTGAAATATGTACGTAAGTTCTAATTAATATTATTTTCGGCTTGTTTACTTTTACCTCTGCTTACTGCTTTCTTGAATTGTTGTATCATGAGTGAATATATGAAGCTTTTTCATGCTCACCTCACACATGTTTCCAAAGAAAGCTTGAAAAATTAATATTTCATTTCTACGTTCTAACAACATACGATTCGTATGTGAATGAGTTTGTCATGTTGCGGATGTGTTTGTATGTCTGTTTGTCGTGAAATCATTATATGTACACAAACAGATACATAAAACATGATCAACATAAAAATTATTAAATTTATGACATGATTCTTCTTAGATTAATGTATGAATGTGGGAGAAATATAATCCAATGTTCAGGGAAGATGAAACTGATAGAAACTTTTCTCTTCTTGTTTGTAGAACAAATTTTTCTACTCGACAACAAGTTAAAGATTTCAAATTACAAAACATGTCAAATTACAGAACTTTCTTAACAAACAACATCTCTGCTTAAGCGACAGAAAAGCATCAATCTTTCCTTTACTTTTTTCCTTTATTTCCGTTCATTTCGTTTAGCACGAAACACATAAAATCAATGTTAGATATGACAATGATAACACCAATTACAACATTTTTCTCGCTTCTCACTTACCTAACATTATCTTCTAACATTTCCTCTACAGTAAAAGCTTTTTTCGGTTTCTTTTTTCGGCTTGTCGTCATTTATTTATTTGTTTTCTTCTTTCTTCCACATCTAATGTACTTTTATGATAAGGCTTTGGAATAGAACGGGCACTATAGCAATGGTAAGGAAAATATTTACAAAATAATGTTATGTGACATCTTAATCAATTATGTAATAAAATTGGCCTTTCAAGCTTCAACACACAACACACTTGATCGACTCAACGCTTGCATTTATTATTACGCAATGATTATTAATCAATTTAACTATGAACGTTAACACATATACCACTAATGAAATTAAGCTTTAGGGATGGAAGCTAATAGAAATAAAATGAGAAATAATCAACGATTGATTGTTGTTTGCGCTCCAATTGATTTGTTTTTCCAATGCTCATTGACGTCAGCCAACACAAAAAGCTTTTGTCTCTAATTCTCGGTAATGTTTTGGTAACATTATCTTAATCGCCTTTCTGACTTAGAAATATTTGGATGGGATGTTGAGAATTAAAGATCGAATGAGAAAAATAAAAGCATCAAGTCGAGATTAATTATTTATTTCTGTGTAGCTTGAAAGTTTTATTCAGATATAAATTTAAAAGTTTTCTTTGAGTAAACATGACTTGAACTTTCCCTCGCTACAATATTTACCAAGACAGTTTCTCTTAACTACAACTTAATTAATTTTTCAAGTTCTGATTGAAATTTAATATCGTTTTAAAAAAGTGGTTGCAACATTGCAGGAGGTTGAAACTTTCATCATAAGCTTTTGTGTTATGAAAAGTTCAATCTTTGTATGCAGGTGAATTGTTTGTTGAAGGTAGAAAGAAGAGGAAGAAAAGAGCTTTGAGCTTGTTCAGCAGAAGATTAAACATAATAAAATTGTTGGAGTATTATGTATCACGTGTTTGTTAGAATTTTTATATAAAAACTGGCCAATGATGCAGCAAATAAATATTTGACTGTGCAGTTTATAATTTAAGCTTTATTATCCTCAAATAAATCACATTAAACAAAACAAAGCTTTTTCTCGTGCACTTTTCCCATATTCAGTTCAGCTATAAAGTTTAATTTGAAAATAAATACACTTTTAAATTGTGTTCATACATACACATAGAACTGTCCTATATTTACCAGCATGAAAGCAAAATGAAAATGCAATTTGCCAAGTTAGTTACACTGAAAAAGAACTTGATTTATACATATTTCATTTTTGTTTTGATATGAAATTGTGAATGTTATTCCCCTCCATTTTCTTGTTTTGCAAATAATGAGTATGTTTATGCTTTCAAGAATGTTTATCCTTCTTGTTAAGATAAAATCTAAAAGCAAATAAGATTGCTGTAAAACTTTCTATACAATGCTCAATTTTTCGGTTACATGGAACGATTGCGGGTAACATTCCCCCTTAAATCGTCAAGCGTATTTAATATATTGGGTGAAAAAATAACCAAAGAGCTGCTCTATGAGAGTGGAACGATTTCATAAAAAGAAAGGAAGCTAGTGCTTGAAGTGAAGAATGCAAAATATTTCAAAGATATTAAGCAAGCAACATGATGAAACTTATTTCTTCTTGTTGTACACAAATCTGCTCGCAGATTTTTCTTGTTAGGTCATACTTAAAGCAGAAGCAAATTTCTTTTTTCCCATCATCTTCTCAACAAATATTTTCTCGACGTTCCACAAACCTAATGCATTTTAACGTCTTCTTATATTGTACTTAGTATGCATAGAATGCAGTAAAGAAATATTTTATGAAATCCAATTTTACTTAAGACGATTTTCTTGTAAACAGAGTGTCATTTCGAAAAGTGAACTTCAAGTACCACTTGCATCATTTCTCATTCCTACCAATAGTAAAGCATCAACTTTAATCGAAGCCAAAAGTACTGGGAAAAGATTTTTTTTTTGCTTGCTATTTCCATAACTTATCATATTTTTTTATCTCTGGAGTACGTTTGCTTATTTAACATGAAATTGAAATGAAAAATCCGCCTTCCAATCCTCCTTGTTTCTGCTTACATTTCAAATATTTATTGTTATCGTCCGTCGCTTCATGAGAAATGTACGTATGCACATAAAGCTTGTGGGTGGCCAAGTGAATTGAATTTTTATTTTTAAAAAATTATTCAATGCTACTCGAAAAGCGAACAACGTTTAAAAGTTGAAAAATATTCTTCAAGCTCTACTCCCAAATATTCAAATTAGGTTTTCCATGAGAAGGAAATTATTTTACGTTAGAATTGCTTTTATCGTCGCAGTCTAAAGCCAGGAAAAGTTTCCAAATTTGAAACAATTTATTTCACCATATGTACGACTACGATCTATTGTGAAACTTTCGAATCTAATAAAGCAATTAATAAGAAAGAAACATCTTTGTCTCATATCCCCTTGGAACCATCACCCGATTAACCCTTTTATTGGTTGTCATTTTTTTCCTAATGAACGGATCCTTTAAAAGGTTCAATTGCCTATAAGACCCACGAGACAGAAATCAAGTAGAAAAGTTTTCCCATTTAAAGTCTTCTTTTTTCACTCCGATTACGTTGTTTTGTATCCAAATTGTTTTTTGGTTGGATTCATCAAGGCAAAAGATAAAAAGATTTTTAAAAGTCTTCCGATACCATCATATGAGGAAGAAATAAAACAGAAAAACAAAATGGAAAATTTAAAGAAATCATTTTTTATGAAGAGAGAAGAAGGGAGAAATCTTGAAGATATTAAAGACTTTCCTTAACCAATATCCATTTAACATACCATGATATATTAGTCAGCATTTATAACAGTCATAGTTATAGATCGTTCCTGGAAGAAACTGGGAGAAACTTGAAAGAAATGGTAAGACTGTCTAATCCCTATCAACTTCTACATTTTCTATCATCAAGATGAATTTATTTTTCGTTGAAAGATTTCATCAATTTCTTGTTCAGTTGGGAACTTAACAAGAGAAAAACCTTTATATACAAAGTCAAGTAATTGTAATGAAAGAAATTCTTTCTTTTTCCTTTTAAGGCATAAAATTCATGGTAACCTTCTTACGAAATGGGATTTAAATCGCTTGAGCATTTTAACATCTAAAGGAGAACAAGAACAAAGCTACTTTCAACCTTTTCCTTTTTTCAATGCTAAAGCTACACAATTTATAAAGATTTATACTTCGGTAGATTCATTTATCAGCAAGTTTATTTCCTGGTCAAGCAATACAAGAAGAATAAAAAGGTGAAAATCCTATAAATGTCCGATTTCGATTTTAATTCTAGCAATACGAGACAAACTTGTAATCCTTTAAGCAGCAATCATTTAATTCGGATGAAATGATATTGATATCAATTGCATTATGAATGTTAGAAGATAAAATGTTTTGTTATTCTGTCAAAGCAAATACTCGTTGTTGAAGTGTCAAGGATTATAAAATGAGTGAATCTACTCATTGCCAATTTCACCTACATCGTACAATCTTCTTCATTGTAGCTGCATATAAAATGAGAGTATGCCAAAGCATGCAAATGAATGTCACTTGTACGTTATTAGTTTAGAAACCTTGTGGTTTTTGCAGTCATTGTTTGTTAAACTTCTAATTGGCACACAAAAAACGTACATGAAACTAGGGAAACAGGCATATAAAAAGCTTCTACTTTTAAATTGGTCAGAACAATAATAATTTAACAAAAAAAAGTACATAAGTTAGGCACTTTATGTGTAGTAGCTTTTGAATATTCACATCCAGAGTTGGGTAATTGATTGGCTTTGAAATGATATTCATTTTTCCATTCTTTAAAGTCAAAACTAATTTGAAAATAAAAATTCATTAATGAAAGAGATTAAGAATATCCTCGGATTAAAAATCTTTCACCGTGAAGTCTTAAAAATCATTTTTCGTTCAAAAATCTTTAAAATTATTAAATCTTCAACCTCTGTTTACATCATCGTGAAATTTTATGTTAAATATTCAGTTCACAGTGAACGTTTAATTTCTCATAAAATACTCTTCCCCCTGAACTTTTGAGCTGGTTCGTTATTCTTCCACACAGTGGTTTTGCGTGAAGCAGAAAGCTATTAAAAAGAAATTTTCATGAAATATTCTCTTTTGAATCACATCCTAAAATTGCCTAACTTTCAAATCAACCCCATTATTACAAGACATAACAATGAAGTATAACAATTAGTGATATGTTTCTCTAATGGAAACCAGGAAACGTCGGTTAGACAATTTCCTGAAAACTTTACACGCTCTCCCTAAATCTCTTTCACTTTGTTGAATAAAGTCATATGAAATTTGATATTAATTGGCATTTAAGTAACCTTAGCTTGAACTTGGTCCGGAAAAATCTCCTTTGGGGGTTGAAAGTATTTTGCGTAATCCGGAAATTTAAATGTTTGTATCTGCAGAAAGATTGTTAAGAAGGAATAAGACAATTTACTACCTTCAATCGCCTACTTCAAATAATAACCACATCCTCAAAGTTTATTTTTCTATACCTTTTCATACTGCCAAGAATGTTTTTCTGTTGAATTTTTCAACATAAATGGCTATACATATTCTTAAATTGAAAGGATTACGAGGGTTGGCCACTTCATTGAAACGAAACATTCTTATGTCAAATGATTTCTTTCTAAACTCCTACTGAAGTTGGTAATTGATTTCAACTTTTCTTTTATAAAGTTTTCTTTAAATCGATTCTAATCGACGTAGGTAGATATAAATGGGACATCCTTCAATGGAAGTTTTATTACGTGCTCTCAACAGGCAGCAATTATTGGCAATGGCCATTTGTGTTATTGTGTGGATTCGTCGATAAATTTGAAACGTTCAATAAATTCTCTTGAAGCTTGACATTAGCTGACACACGCACCACAAACGGTATTTAATAATAGCTTCACGATTGTTATTAGTCGATGTGTTTAAATATATCGTCTCTTAAAGGAACATCAATTAACGTCAAGTGTCAAATTCATTCAATTATACTTTAATTGATCGTCAGCAGCACTGTGTGGCACATTGAAAATTGTTATATTTGCTTGGGACAATAGAAAAAGAAGAAAAAAAGTACTTGTGGAGCCTAAATTGATTCCATTCTGACGTTGTTGCTTTTGTTCAAAATGTTTGTACAATGCTGCCATTATTTGAAATGTCGCATGGACAGCTAAATTGCTGTAGCATGCTCATAATTTATTTCAATAGAAAATATCGAAATGGTTTTATTGAAAAAAATGTTTCTCTGAGGGGCAATATTTTGATTGTTTACTGATGTAAAATGTTCGTGAATTAAAGCTCGATGGATTCGGAATAAACGTCATTAAGAAGTGTCATTTCATTCTCGCCTTTTGACGAACGAACGATGAAGTTAACTTTGATGGAGTGACAATATTTGTTTGCAAAATGATTCTCATCAAGAGATTGAACATCAAAAAGTTTCAGTTTAACGTGAGATGATTAAAGAATCAAATCTATCTAAAACATTGCTATAAAAGCGCGAGAATATCAAAATAACAGAAGAAACTTGTTCGAGTTTTTCAATTTAAAGTTATCGTAAAGAGCTCAAGAACTTTAACGTTCAACTTTTTCATCCATGCTTCAAAAATTGGTTTATTCTAGAGATTTTATTTAACGTGACGTCAAGTCAAAGAGAATATAGGATAACTCTCATTGAACTTCACGCTGCTAATATCCAATTCCTTGTTTAAAACTTTTTAACTCTCGATATAAGCGAATCGTTCGAAAAAAGAAAAGTTATTGTGAGAAAAGTAAATTCCAAACGATTACCTTTCCTAGCAATCGATCACGCTCAGTGAGTTTCTCTTCTTCAATTACTTTTGCTTTCCTTTCGATTTCTTCACTTCCTTTTTCTTTATAACTTTTCACTCGTTATAAATAAAATATGAAGTTTTCACTTATTTTTCTTAGGGTGTCGCACGATGAAATATAAATTAAGAAAAAGAAATTTTTGAGATGACAGAAAAATATTTGCTTTTTTCATGCGAATGTGAAAGCTTGAAAACCAAAGTCAAATAACTGTTGGAAGATGAATTAAGAGAATATGCTTGTGGAACACTGAATAAGGAATGAAGAAACCTTTTAGCTGTGAAAGATGAAAATTTAATGAAAACCTTACTTCCCACATACAAATTAGAAATTTTAATGACTTGGTTGCTCATCTGTGGGAAGTTCAAAGTGATAATCTGTAACAGCTGAACACAAGACCTTCTATTTTCATTTAGACTGAAATTATTTGTAAAATGTTTGAAATATCCCAGAAATCTTATTCACACCTTCTAAGCATCCGATTTGATGGAACGAGAATGGAATTCATTTGACAAAAACAAAATTAAAGCGCATAAAACAACTGAGTGTGTCATCATTTACCACCTCATTTGAAAGAAGCTTTTCCCACGCATTTGCTGACAGTCACACACGCATAAAAAGTGTTTTAATGAAGTTCAGAAATTTAATTAAATTACTCTCAATTTAATGTGACATTACCATTAGGAATCGTTATATTCTACTGCATGATGTCGAACAAATGTTGCGAGAAACTTTTCCTTAAATGAAATGTGAAAGCTGTAACTGCAAAAACAGAAACAGATTCGCAATGAACTATACATGAGCATGACGATGTAGGAAACTATTTCATTCTCTTTTTGGTATCATTCTAATAATGTTGTCACGTAAATAATCGTTAAGGAACAAGCATTTACGAGCTTCATCTAAATTGTTCATTTCTTTTCTTTCAATGTTCGCAAGAATGAGATTTTCTCTATCTTGAGTTCATCTGCATGGAAAATTTTTGAACAAGAAAAGTTTTGGATGTATTAAAAGTGTATACAAGCAAGGAAGGGAAAAGAAATCAGTGAAAAGAATCAAGAAATTATGGGATAAATTGGTTTGCGCTTTATTAGGTAACAAGCCATTGTAACTTGTTCGCTAGTGAATTAACATTGAACGTCTGCAGTCAGCAATCGATTGATTTATCAGTGATTAAGATGTAAGCACTTTCTCTTCTTCCTTCCTTAAATTTCGACATTTTCCTTCTCTTTTTCTCTTTTAATCAATCAATCCGATCGAAGGAAAATATTTCTCGGACAATTTGCTTTATATTGTAACTGGAATGGAACGTAACGATTGAAATCTCGGCAAAAAAAAAACTCATTTCATCTTCACTTACTGCTGAATGAATATTGGAATTTAAGTTGTGATTTTATTTTTCCATTGTATCGAGACAATGAAAATCACTTTTCCTTTCAGGTATATCTATAAGAGATGGGAAAGAAAATGTCTGGAGAAAAATGTTTCAGTCGGGTAATAATCCTTTTGTTCTTGCTTCGTCATGAATTCGAAGAAATTTCTAAATAAAAATTCATTCAGTGTAGCAAATTTAAGAATGAAGTTGAACAGCTTGCTTAAGCTGTTGTTCAAGATATGATGAAAGGCAGAAAAGTTAATATTTCTTCATAAGGAAGCTGCGATAATGATTTTCTAATAACTGAACAAGAACAAGTAAAAAAGGGTTTAAGTAAAATATTCAAGAAATGAAATTTCAAGATAAGGAAAAACAAGCTTTCGTTCCTTGGCCTTGAATAATATTTACGGCATTTACATTCCTTGAAGGCTAAACCTTATTTTTTGAGTCTATTTGAATTGGTAATTCAATTTGCCTAAGTCGGGAATTTTTCACAAAAACATCTTCAAAATTTAATGAACAAAATTGGATTAGCTTTTTTTTTCCATTTTAAGAAAGAAAAATCACAAATTTCAAGTAAGAAAAACGATGAAAACATTGTTTTGCTCTCTTCCTCGCTGGTTTTTAATAATATTGATCATGAAACATCTCGTCCTAACTCAACTCCTTTGAAATTGAAGAACGTTCTTACTGGTTTTCTATTTTTTCCTTCAAAGCCTAAATCGCTTCAACAATTTCCTTTGATCTTTAGACTTGAATCGTCTTTGTTTTATTGTGGTAATGGAAAGACCATTGTTGAAAGAAATTTCCTTTTTATTTTGCTTTTTCAAAAGGTTTTTCACTTCTGTTTCGTGAGCATTTCAGATTTCCATCAAACATCCTTTCCCCGGGGATAATTTGCGCAGCTGGTTCGCTTCTTATTTTCCGGCTTCTCACTCAACTTTAATATCTTAACGTCGCATTAAAATATTTTTTTGTTTTCATTTATTTTTTTTGTAGATATTTTTCTGCACAACATTTCTTTCTGTGAGTTTTAAGAGGTGAAATCACATTTATGAGAGATTTAAAAAGCTCCATAAAAATGTAAGGCAATGGTAATGGTGAAGAGCGTGATGTTTGCATAGAAATTATAAGCGAAGGAAAAATGTTGAAGCACGAAACATTTTCCGACGTTTAAGAATTGTTTTGAGATATGTCACAAAATTACATTTTTTAGAAATTTTCTTTTTTACATATTACAATCTTCTGGAGGCATGAAGAAACATTTTCATCCATTTTATTGTCTTCAATCTCAATATATGACAATATAATTCTCAATTTACGAAAGAAAGAAAATGAAACACAACTTTACGAGTAGATTCGCCTGCACAGTTCTTTTTATCATACTCAATGGTTTCCACTAACATAAAAAGAAGTTTTCAAAAGAGGCAGAACAACACAAAGTATTTCTCATCAATTTTCAAGAAAAGTTCTTTTGTATTATGAAGATTGTTGAGATTGAACATTTCATTCTTTAGTCTCATGAGTTACATCGTTCGACTGAACTTTTCATTTGTTTGCAGTGTCAATCACTTAAGAAAAGGTTAAATTTGTTGAGATTTTCTTCTTTTAATTTGCAAACGTAATATTGACAACATCAGTTCAAAATTACCAGTGCATTAAGAGTCTTTCATTAATGATAATAAATATGCAAGCAGCTCATTTCTTTCCATTATTTGTAGCGTCGTTTTAATGGAAATTTGGAATCATTTTCAATGATATTTTTCCAACCCCCATTAAAAATCCATTTTCACTTTACGAACGTCATGAATACGTAAAAGAAGAACAAGAAGAGGAAGAGAAAAAATAATCATTTTAGAAGGAAATTCATTTCATCCTTTGCCTGCTTTGACTTAAATCGTGAATTGCAAAATTTTCCGTTTTCCTCTGTAAGTGTAATATTTGCTTATTTACATATTTACACACAAAAGTCAGTCGTGTATAGTAAGAATATTTAGTCATGGTTACGCGTCGCACACACAGTTACATGAACTTTCCTTATTAGACAATAAATTATCTTTCGTTCAATGCTTCTTCTTCTACGTGTACTCTCCTATCTAGTTTTGATTGTCATGTAGGTAGTTGTCATGGCCTACATTGTTCATCGAAAAATCGTTGATAAAAATAAAATAAATGAAAATTATTCATCGAATAGCTTTTTATTGTCAATGAATATTGAATGTTTCCGAGTGTTAACTGAAATGTAAAATTAAATCTTGTTGAACAAGTATTTATGCTGCAGCAAATCTAAGCATAACATAAAATTGAAACACTGAAAACCACTTGGAAATAATTAAAATAAATAATTTAGCTATTGTATGGTCAGTTACAAATTGTTATTAAGAGTCGACCCTTCAAAAATCATTCTGTGCGAATGGAAGCAGTGAATTGCATTTTATCCACATACCTACATACTCTCATATACGGATAAAATATAATTCTTTGGGGATGAACATTTCTGCTTCGAAATCATAAGCTCGAATTGTTTTCATCATGTATCATAAATGTGTCCTTTCCTCCTACACACGAGTTCAACTCGACCGGAAAAAAAAGATGATGTTTGGAAGTTTCGTTTTGTTTTCATTTTTAACCTTGGCCAACTGTGATTGCATTCACTGAGTCACTAGAGAATTGTGGTAGGAAATAAAAAAAAGAAATATTTAACTTATTCAAAGCAATTTCGTTCATCAACGTTAATCAAAACTTTTTTTTCTTCTCACGATTCATCGCGATAATGATGGCAGAGTAGAAAAGTCATTGTGGATTTAAAAGCGACGACTAATTTTGTCAGTGATTTGACTGGGACGTGGGGAATCATATTCGCTAATTAATTTAACGGGCCCATTTATAACATTAGAAGATAATAAGCCATTAATCATTATGAAAATTAAATTAGCGAAACTCTCCGCACGTCATACACGGTATCAGCAAGAGACAAAAGGTAAGGTTTGGTGAAGGTTCATTTCTTATTCTCAGTAGTATACTTAATTCTTTTATGACGACACAAAAGCTGAAAGCTCTACTATGTAGCAAATCCATAAAACACCAAATGAGCTTATCATTGTTTTTACGCTTGCTTCTCCTTCTAAATTGACTTCTCGACTCGACTTACATACAAAGATCTCCAACAACGATACCAGCTACATAATTTGTCGTCATTAACTCGATCATCATGAAAAGACATAATTTCGACTCCAGTTGATTGCAGCACGCTTTAATATGCCTGTTCGTTGGTAAGAAATGAAAAGTCATTACAGTTGCTTCTGACAGTCGAATAAGCAAACGAGGAAAGCAAAGGAAGTTGTGAGAGTGAAGTGTAAAACCAAATGAAAATTCCCCCTAAGTTCAGTGAAGTGCAATTCAAAGCTTCCGCTTTTCATTTTTATTTTGCTTCTCATATTTTCAAGAGGGGAAGAGCCTCGTTTTTCATGAAAGAAAAATGCGCAGTCATCCTCTCTTCTCTCCACTCGCTCTCGCAATGTTCAACAGAAGCATATCCTTCCTTTCGTATGCTCTTCCGATTTTCACAAGCCACAGTTCAGTAAAATTATTTACAAGGTTAACAGCATTGAACGTATTGCTCCCGCTTGGATTACATGGATATAAATTATGAATCAATTTGTGATTTTAGTTATTTATTAATTGATGAAAATTTTGTACGTTGCATTGCAGTTGTTAAACTCGCATGATTGGGAAATAAAACGTGGCGTTCGTGATCGAATAAAAAATATATAAGTAATAAGTGGAAAAAGGTCGGAAAAAGGTTGAAAACCAACTTGAAAACCGATTAGGTAAAGCGTAAAAAAGTGATGAAATTATCCAGCTGTGTTCTGTTCTCAGTGGAAATTCCGCAACGGTAAACCATTAATCCGCAAAACAAACGAAAATCGATCGAATGTAAAAGTTTTATGTGAAACTAGATAAGATATATATTACAGTGATTTACTAAAAGTGGAGCTTCAAGCGCATTATCGTAGAATCTTAATTAGGAAACATTCATCTCTTTTGCCAAAAAAGCAGAAAATTTCCATTCGACTTAACCAAGCTGAAAATATAAAATAAAATGAAAATGAAGCTTCGACTAGAAGTTCCAGATGTGAAAATTTATTTAGTCCTTCTACTAGTGATTGGTGAGATAGTTGCAGAAGTTTATCGCTTGCGACCCGTATTAACTGGATTTACGATCGTTTCTTTAGTGATAGTAAAAACTAGTGGTGGAGATTCGCCTGCGTCTTATTGGGAGGAAAATTATTCACAACCTTACTTTGACAATACAACAAGACGCGATATTACTGTGACAATTGGACAAACAGCGATCCTTCATTGTCGTGTGAGAAATCTTGGCGATAGAGCTGTAAGTTCCACTCACTTTCAACTTAACCCTCGTTCATCTTCTTATCTGCTTTCAACATGAACGTTTCACTCACTCTTGACGACAAAGCTCTTGTAAATAATAATTTACGAAAAGCATTTCTAATAAATGTTTCATTAATTGACGACTTCTATAAAAAAAAGTTCGGAAGTAAAGTAGAATGACAGTGCATTAGTAAGAAAATTCATAACGCAGCACATTTATAGGTAAGAAATGTTTGCGGAACTAAAACTGTCGTCAGGCAAAAAGTGTGTTTAACTGTCTCCAAGTGAAAATATTGTTACAAAGCATACAAGAAGAAGAATCGAAAAAGAAATGGACAAAAGTTGACACAGAAAGAAAGGAAAAAGGGTTCACTGCAATTTACTTCAAATTTCGTCCTTTTCTCTCTTTTTTCTTTCACGACCCGTCTCAATCATAACTCGAATGGTTGAACGAGAACTTTAGGTATCGTGGATCCGGAAACGTGACTTGCACATTATGACTATTGGCATCTTGACATACACAAATGACCAACGTTACCAAGCGATTCACACCGAAGGCTCTGATGAGTGGTCGTTACGAGTCACGTCGCCTCAACCGCGAGATTCTGGCGTCTATGAATGCCAAGTTTCAACGGAGCCAAAAATAAGTCAAGCATACCGATTGAATGTTGTGGGTGAGTTTAAATTTCATTCTACTGTAACCCTCATTACTAAATTCAAACAGTTTCACATGCCAAACACTTGTCAGAAGATAACAAAGCATTCGTCTAAATATCTCGAAGCACCCTCGAATGTTTCAGTTAATCTTTTTCCAAGAGCCTCTTGAATTGTTCAAGTATCAATTGTTCCATTTCGAGCGTCTCAATCAATAATTTGTTTTTATTTCTCAAAGCTTTATTTTCAATGATTTCTGTCTTCATCACTTGCCCAAAAATTTCATCTAAATTAAAAAAGTTTTCAATATTTGAACTCTGAAAGTTTTTACAAGCTTCACTCATTTACTCAACATTGGAAGCTTGTGGTATGGAAATATTAAAATACAAAATGAATTAAAAGCTCGTAAAATTTTTTAAACTTCTTGTTCATCATGTCAGTCTGTTAAGAACACTCATCATGTTAATAATTTAACATGATACTCGTACTTAATACGAAGATAGAAATTGAGCAATTTTCTCATGACGCAATATTTTCACTTAACATTTATCGGTAGAAACGAGTGACTTGATTCTTTTCAATTTAAACATGCTCTTGGCAAGGCAAGGAAGTTGCCGAAATTTTCATCTTTTCTCAAAAAATATTTTCCCTCCCTTGAGTTAGGATTTCCAGCAAATTTCTTTCAGTATCAGAAATGAGAAATGAAAAATAAAATAATAAGAAAGAAATCTTAAAAATTATAACAACAATGAAATTTTCGAGCTGCTAAGAAGAATAAGAAAAAATCAACACAATTTTTCGTTTATTTCAAATAAAGTCGCGCAGCGTGTGCTCAAGAATTGCGGCATGTCGCTCGTTTCTAAAGTTGAAAAAAAAGAAGAAATTTTACCCTCAAGACACCTTGAATCTCGTAGATTATTTTTCAAGCATAAATTTATTTTCGACTCTCATGCATTGTCATGAATTTTACTTTTGTTATTGCTTTTTCCCCCTTTTTAAACGCTTATGTACATCTTTTTTTCTTATTTCCTCAAATTTCCAGTATCGAAAGCGAAAATTCTTGGCAATCAAGAGCTTTACATCAAAAGCGGCAATGATATCAATTTAACTTGCACAACATCACAGATCTCATCTCCTCCGTCTTTTATCTATTGGTACAAGGGTGGTAGAGTAGTAAATTATTCGCAACGTGGCGGCATCAACGTCAGCACAGATCGTACGACTAAAACGAGCAACTTAGTTATATCGAGAGCCACTCCCGCTGATTCGGGAAATTACACATGTGCACCAAGTAATTCAGGTGAATTAATCAAATGAATAGAAGAATTTCATCACAAAGAGTTCTTGCATCCAACAGTGAATTTATTCTCTCAATCTTTCTTTTCAAAATCAGACGCTGACTTTGTCATGGTGCATGTCATAAGCAACATTGATGCAGCCGCTATGAAACATGGCAACAACAGCGGAACCAGCCTTGGACATTCGTCGCTTAGTCGTCATTATAATAACTACCTATCGTTATTTGTATGGAAATGTCTGATCGTTTTAACGTTTATAAATAAATCATTTTCAATTAGGTGACTACAGTAAATTGCTGCCTTTGGATTATTGCATTTATTTGACTATTATTCAGTTTTGTAAAAGCATTTTCCAGATAACCGTACAAAGACCATAAAGTCTTATTCTTGAATTTTGATTACCCAATTATTCTTATTATTCCTTATGTATGTACATTTGTTCCCGCTACCTACAATCGGACATGATTTGTTGATTTCTAGTACAAACATATCATTTGCATGTATTTAAATGTATTATTCCCTCTTCCATTTCTTGATAGCTTTTCTCCCTTTTCTCTTCTCATAATGTGTCATACATTTTCGATTAGTCTGCATACTTATTAGTAGCGGTTTTATGCTAATTCACCATTTCTCTTCGATTAAAGGGTCATGAAAAGGCATAACCTGAAGCTAATGGACTAGGAATATTATTTTTTTTAACATACCTACCCTTACGGAAGTTGTTTTCGTGGTTTTCCTACTGTATGTGGAAGCCGCCTTCTCTCCATCTCATATGCCGAAAATAAACATTTAATTCACTTCAAATCCATTCCCCGTCAACAACGCTTTCATTCTTACAACAAAGCAGTCAGCTTAACATACAGGAAAATCAATATTGATTAGTGTTCATAAAGCTGAAATGGTAGGAACGTGTGTTACTCTGTTTCTCCTACTCCTATTGTGTTTCCGAATAAATTTTCACAGGTAAAATGACGGGAGAGTGATTGACATTCATTTGTCGTATTTGGAACAACTTCTTTTATGGGCATTTTCTCAATTCTTCTTGTATTGTGATGATACAAATAATGTTAGGCAAGGCAAAAAACGAATAATGAGAAAAATCAAATGAATGAATCTTTTCCCATCCGGGACATGCCGATAAATTATATTCAGTTGGTTGTGAGAATCTACTTTGTTATTAAAAAATTGGGCTGACTAGAAAATATTTTTAATTTTTTTACAGCTGCACTGGAATTTATGTTTATAATCTTTCTAAAGCGAAATAAATGAAATTAAATTTCTTCAAACATTAAATTTTGTTTCAGTTTAAGCAACCTTTAAAAAAGAATTTCCTCCTTCCTCAGTCTGAATGATAAATGCAAACAGGTTGATGGTATAACATTAACAAACTGAATCAAATTGAAAATAAAAAGAAATAAACAATTTACATTATCTAAAAGGGGGAAAAAGGATCTCAAGCCTTCTTAATCATTTAGTCAACCTCATGATTAGTTTTCAGTTCCCATGAAATTGAAGGCCATGAATGGGCGCTGTTTTTTAATTTAGTTAATCGAAATTAAAATTCGCCAAGGGTGTGAAGTTTTCCATCAAGAAAGAAAAAGGTTAGCAAGTCTCTAAAGCAATAAAAAAAGCCTTCTCCCCAGGGCTAGGAGAAGGTTCAAAGTATTTCACTTACTTCTTCTCGCTTTAAAAAGAAAAAAATATTCAAGAAGGGATGATTTAGTTACAATACTTATAAGTATACGAGATGATTTGCGAATGTATGAAAGCTCATGATAATAATTTATCAAAGGAACTTGTTGCTGCAACAGATGCGTCAACAGGACGCTTCTTCCCACGAAACGCCTAATGGCATTGATTTCCATGTCCATCAAAATTGTTTGTACACACTCATAAGGTGTGAAAGATCAAAACGAGTAAATGTTATCATAAAATCAACTGTGACAGCTGTCTCTACCACTTCAATCGACCATACTAATCGGAAAATTGATACTATCTTCTTAAAGTGTTAGCATTAAGCTTTAATATGATGCTTATGGCAACGTAAGGAGTTTTGAATAACGTCAAGTTAGATATGTAAATGTTTTTAAGTACTCTTTGTCACCCATTAAGAATCATATCAAATATCGTTATCAAAGAATATTGGCATGGGACTCGAAAGGAAATTTCCATAAAATTGTTCACATAATTTTTGCCTTCCTTCTATCATTTATCGAGAAGCAAAATAAGATCGATCAGCATGTTTCTGGAAAACATTTCTTCTTATTATTCTATCTTTCTCGATTTTCTTCTTGTTTTTACTGCTTCCTACTTCGTTTTTTTTTTCGCAATGTAAGGATGACGAGTGTGGGTATGAAATGAAAATTCAATGGGCACGAAAAGGAGCTACTAGAATATTATTACATCATGTCGATCTCATTACTATTTTTGCACATTGAATAATTCATAAGCTTAGGTTAGAAGCGACGGCCGAGAGAATAGAAAAGGCAAAGAAATCATTCAGTTGAGATGTGGGTCCCATGCAAACTGTTTGTGTGACTAGGACTTTGGGGATTTGAAACAAATTTTCAGAGAATTTTCGATTATAAGCTGGGATTGTTTCATGTCGATTTCCCAACAAAAAAAAAAAACAAGCATCCAACTAGAAAAGGGCTGCACTGTAGGTGGATGGAGAACATTCAGCAAGAGTAACGGCATTATGATGGAATAAATTTTTATTAGCAAATAAGAGAACCCTTAAAAAACGAACTCAAGAATAGAAGCAACTTGTTCGCAAATAAATAAATTTCCACTCGATCTTTTACTAAAAGATTTTTGGTTGTCGGAAAACTTAGCTTCGAATTAGCAATCTGATAAATTATGAAATTTATTAAGGGTCAAAAGTGATACGTTTGAAAGGATCAGAATATCGAAACAAACCAAGTCAGCCAACTCTTATTCTTCTTTTTTTTATTTAGCCTTACAACACAATAAGAGATTTAAAATCGGTTTCAGCCCTTTTCGTTTTCTCAACAGACTTAGTGAAAGCTTATGGTGAAACATATCAGATCTTGTTAATATCAATAAATTGACAATCTTATATACTCCACAGAGCATTCGTAAATGTTGCAGATACCATGAAAGAACAGAACAGCTTTCTTACTTCTTCGAAGAATTTCCTCAACTTCGTATTTTCGTTTCCTTTTCCTCTCACTTTTCACGAGCTTACGATTCATGCCATGAAAAGGCGGAAAGATAAAAAAATTGAAACCATAGAGAAGCAATTTTAATAAATTTCCTTTAACCAAACAAAACCCTCATCAAGTCAAATATTGAATTTGATCTCGAAACGATTTCGATGTACGCAACATTTCTGTTAATAGAATAAAAGAAAATTAAGCTTTTCGAATGTATTCATAGAAAAAGACAATTTTAAGAGGTTGGCCAGATTCAATTAATTTATTTAAGGGAAAATAATTTGCTTAGTCAATTGGTAAAAGATATTTTCGAAGTGATTTTTGTTTCTTGTGACAAAATTGGCACCCAAAATCCTTTCCGAATGCAATTTAGAATTTGCGCTCATAAAATAATTGAGCAATAATGAACGATGAGAATCAAATCCAAGGCTAATTTATCTTATTAAATATTACTAAACAAAGCCGGGTCTTGTGATGTTTTTGTGTTTTTGGATGTTAAGCTCTAAATTTATTGCTTCGACCATCACAAACACATTTAGACTCAATGAAATCTTTTTATAATTCGTTAATTGCTTTTTATGCAGCTTTAGTTCTTGTTGAATATATTAAATATTTACATGGCTATAAAAAAAAGAAAGCTTAATCGTGTGATATCAAAAGCACCCAAAATAGAATATTAAATTGCTTATTAGTTACTTGAGTGGCAACATTGCTGGGAGAGAAAAAAATTCTTCCAACCAGTGACAAGATGACGAGGGTCCATTGTTTTCCAATTTTCTGGACTCGATTTTTCGTACGTGTTTTAGAAGTTCTCGTCTTACATGCGATGAGTACAAAAAAAATTTGGCGGATGAAGACAAAAAAACAAAGCAACAACAGAAATCCCAGTCGTCCTAAATACATTAAATTTTTGATAAGATAAGATTGCAAAGCGATTTGTATCCATGGAGTTTGTAATCGACTCTTACTTAGAAACATATGCATTGAAATATTGAAAACATTCGTTTAATAATAAATTATCAAGAACATTCTGTTTAACTCAAAGGTTATTGGATTTGTCGATAATTTTAAATTAATATTTGATTCGTTGTAAGTGGAAATTTGTTTTAAATATTAAACAAAGTTTGATTCTGTTTAAACATTTATACCACTGGAAACAAGAATTCTGTTTCTTATTGTTAGCTGGGATATGCTTTTGAACCTCAAGCATTAAAACGAAATGACCAACCACATTACAAATGGAGTGGCATGTAAAAAACAAATTCTGTCTGTTGTTGAAAAAGTTGGGTAATTAGCTTATATGAAATGAGAAAAAAAGGAGGAAAGAAATGTCAGAGCAATAAGAGAAGAGATGGAATGAGCTTTGAAATGGTGAATCAAGGCTTTCCTTCTTTGAATCCATAAAAAAAAGCTTTTCGAAGCATTTATTGATCAATTTCTTCTATAAGGCGGCACACATGAGGAGAATCATTGAAAGAATGAAAAAAGCTACTTTTGAAAATTCATCAAATCAACACAAAATGCGAGCGTACATGACGAATGCTTCATTCATATTATTCCGTTTATATAATCGAGGTTGATTGCTTTCGTGCTTAAAATAAAAATACTTTGCAAATGTTTTCTTGAAAGGAAATTTTTCTCGAGCTTCATACGCAATAACTGAGAAGGAAACAAATTTTTTCTGTGTTATTTGAGCTTAGCGAAGTCAAGGAAAATTTGATTGGAAAAATCATTACAACTGAACCAACTGCATGGTTGCTACTGAGGCTTCTTTGAATTTTCTGAAATGATTTTGGAATGTGTTGAATTTGTTATTACCATTTCAACAGGTTTACTATTCATAACGTTGGGAGTTATTAAAATTCAAAACTCTTGGTATTCATATTGTTTTAAATGAATTTCCATTTTCAAGTTATCTTTATATGATGACTTTACTTCTTGTTTTAACATTTGCTATCATTTCTCAAAAATGTTTATCTACTTCGATATAAAATGTTGTTGTTCACGTTCCAAAACAATTTGATAAAATTGACGATGTTGTACGTTGATTCTTCGTTTTTCCTGAGAAATGTCCATTTAGAAGAATTTGTCAGATATTTGAAGCTCGAGAGACACTTGGGACTTTGTTTGATAAGCTTTACCATATTTGAAGTCAGATTTTTGTACGAATTTCAGGCATAAATATAAAACATTCATGGAAGCTAAACGTAAATAAGTTTATGACCTTTCATCAGAAATTCCAAAAATGATTTCAAAAATAATAAAGTCGGAATTTTCGGCTGTAGCAACTTTTGAAGTTAGCAAAAGCAAAAAATTACGAAAATTCATCTTTCCAAAGCAAGTTTGATTATTTGTGAAGTTTTTCTTAGAATTGATATAAAAACCATGGAAATTGTCGTGACGAAATTCAACAACAACTGTTAGCACGAAATTTAATACAACGTGGTGTTGAACATTCGATTAATACTCGAATAATGCACAATTATAAATAAATTAAACCTCTTAAATATACAAAAGATTATTAAGTTTAAGTTTCTTTTTTAGCCTACTTTGAATTCTTTTAAAATATCCTAAAAAATATCCGAAAGCACTTTGTTTCAACCTTTCATCAATTTTCGAGTTTTTATTAGAATATCTAATCCTTTCCCCGCATATCTTACTTGACAACAATTTATTTTCAATTAAAAGTCAAGATTAACGCAAAGTATTCTTATGTTTCAATTATGAAAAATTCTTTCCTTGCTCAAGTTGCTTCCTTAATTTAGTTTTTGTTTGAGGAAATACTTGCTTAATTATTTCTAGCTCTTAATAAGTTTTTCGATCGAGCTTCATTCGCTTTAATCGAAATTAAATTTCATAGAAAGTATGCAGAATATGTCAAGTGTCTTTTTCAAATTTCTGACAGATCAATTTAAAAGGAAAATGTTTCCGTCTCCAAATCACGCTCATTAAAATTCGATTTCCTCTTGTTCGAATAAAATTACTGGAAAAGTGTGATGAAATTTTCTCTGTAAATTTTTCCATTTGTCTAACGAAAAATTATAAAACATGAGAACGAAGAGTATGGCAAGTATTTTCATTCCTTAAAGAAATAAATAAAAAGTTTCCGATCCTTTTTCATGGTTGCCTTACTTTTTTTCCTTTTGCAATTTAAGTAAACTGAAGCAAGACTTGAAAAGTTTTAATCTTCGCATCCTTTTGGATAATAATATTCAAATGAGATTAATCTTAAAAATAAGAAAGAATAAGAAGAACTTTAAGAAGCATAAAAAATGAAATAGAAGTCAATTAAAAACACTAATAATGTAAATTTGTTTAACAGTGTTTGTAAATAATTATAATGGGATGTTCTTTGCAACTCCTACTCTGATGTTTTTAAAGTAGATTCTCAAGTTGCGTTCGTTGAACAAGCAACCACTTGAGATTGATAATAAATTTCCTCAAGATTTCTTTTATTAAGATTCTTTTTTCACTTCTCTATTCGCATGAACTCCACCCTATTCAAATGTTTTCATTCTGCTTCTTTTTTTAGGTCATTATTCCCCTAATATCCACATTGAGTAAGATATCCTAAGAAGAAAAAAATACAAAAATTCCTCATCGTTATTAAATCGTGTTTCTTTTTATTTCGCTTCTTGTACTTTTTACTTTTTGTTATGCTATTGAGAGAGGGAAATTCTCTTCCAACGAGAATAAGTCATCGCGATGAATATTTGATTAACGATGGCGATGATGAAGTTAATTAGATTTAATTAAAAATTTGGTTATGAAAATTTGATATTCTCTGCCGTCATCTTTATCTCACTTGGACAGCGAGGGCGGATTAGTGGGAAATTATGGAAATTAATCAAGTTCATACTTTTTGCTTTCGAAGCTTTATATTTTTGTGCTTTATGACCAAGACCTTAATAATAAAGGATTAAAAATAAAGGAACATGCCAACAAAAGGTAAACGTAATTTATAAGCCTTGACGTGAAAAAATGCAGTTTTCAGCATATCCTTGGAGAGAAACTTAATCTTCCGTAAGTTGTTGTACACTACAAAAACTTTTCGTGTTCTCAACTTCGAAGCTTTCAAGGCATGATTCTAATCAATTTAAATATTTTAAAGCATGTAAATGCTTAGATTTTCTGCAACTTAAAAACTTCAATTAGTTGCTTACAACTGTGACAACAAGTTTTCAATTTAGCAGGTAATGTTTGGATTTAAAATAGTAAAATCAGTGTACGTAAATTTATAACGAAAACTTTGTAAAATCAATTTCCTATCAAAATTTATCGATATTTATACTTTATTTCCCTATCGTTGAACTATAAAATTTCAAAGATTTTTCGAAGTTTAAGAGCTGTAAAAAAGTTTTCAACCTCGATTATGATTGTAGATTGAACCGTAAAACTTTATTTTTTCTTACATAAGAAACATTTGAAACTTATGATTTCATTCTAGAAATTTTTCTAAGAAATCTTCAATTTAATCCCCTCAAAGAAATGTAAATTTGTGAACAACTTTAATCTGTAAATATCTTTTCATTGATTAGGCAATTTTCGAGACTTACGACATTTGGATTGATTCTTAAAATAACTAGAAATCCCCTCTAAAACCATCTCACAAATGAACAAAATTTTACTTATTAAATTATCTACTTTATAGATTACAATTTTCTTGTAAAATAATAAATGCCACGAACATTTTCCTAAAGTTAAGCCCTCGTTATCCTCTACTTGCGATCTTGATCTGCTTATATTTCTAATAATGAAAGATTTCATTATTTTCAAGTAGATAGATACTAAAAACGGAAACACGTTACCAGGAAACAAACTGAGATTAAAATCTATTATGATTTAGAAATTGTATTCATATATGCTTAGGAAGAAGAAAAAAATTTGAGAGGATTCGCTCGTTTTGAACACAAATCTCTTCCTCAACCATAAATAATCTTATATTATTTGCAAAGAAGAAGAAGTAGCAGTAATGGAAAGAAAGAAACTCAATTTCGCGTGTTAACTTTCAATAAAAAAATGATAATCAGACAAAGCATGACAGATCTGTACTTATTAAACATCCCGAAATCCTCCTTTAAACCTTCCTTTTCAGTACATTCGTACTCATAATATTAAATTGAATTCAACGATTGCATAAAGCAAAATGAAGAATGAAACAGTTTTCCTTCTTTTTACTGGCAAAATAATCCAAGAAAAAGAAAAAGTAACTTCAAAGTAAGTACTCGTCTGTCAAAGTTATTAGAGAAATCTTTCTTAGTGATTTACATTTCTTCCAACATTCAAACAAATTCCGTTTTTCTTTTCTTTCGAAAGAAAACTTCAGTGTAAGCAGTATTTGGAATGATGATTTTAAGTAAGCATTTGTTCTCAAGTATACGGCATTTTAAATCACTCAGCAACATCTGTGGATTCTGTTAAAATAGGGTGAAGCATTTTAAAGAAATCTGTCGAGTTAACAGAATGAAGAGTAATTGCAATTGAGATTGAAATTAGTCTTTATTATGTTTTTAAGATATTCTCAACCTCAGCATAATGACTTGCTGATTAAAATCATTTATTCTTCCTCGCGTGGCACAACATTTTAATAACATAGCGACAAGTGCTTTTATGAACAAAGTATATAAATAAGTAGAACGCTGACATCAAATTTAATGCCAATTATTTCTTGTTACTTTTATCTCTCTTCATCATAAATAAGATTTTGTCACTAATTGACAGCTTAGAAAGCCTAACAAGAATTTGTCTAACCTTCCAACTTGACATTGAAAGTATCATTCGTTTTAAATTCAATAATTTGTTATCATTCATCTTACATAATAAGCGCTGACGTTTTCGTGATAAAGCAGAATACAGCGCTTCGAACAGAGCTAAAGGAAGAAGATCCGCTTCGGTTTTCTTCTTAAACCTTCGTCCATTAATCATCACTTGGCATTATATCTGTTATAAAAGCGATATGAATTTCCCGATGGAACATGCTTCATTCGTTTTCTTTCACATCCAACGATTGCAGTACATAAATGGTGTCAGTTAAACCGAAAATATCTTTAAGAGATGAAAAAGGTAAAGCAGCTTGTTAGGTTATTTTATGACATTAAAATTTAATTCCTCTCATGAAATTTCACAAAAGCGTTTTTTCTATTGACATTTATCATGAACACATTCTTGGCATTTCAATTGATTCTTTATAATTGATTATCATTACTGCTATAAATAACATTTCGCATTCAACTTCATAAGATATCTTATTGTCATAAGTATAAGAAACGAAGAGCAAGATTGAATCGTTACTCCAAGAGGGAAAGAATCCTTATTAAATATGTAATAATGATATTTATTATTCCCTTGTTACTTGAAGGTATCGAGAAGTTTAGTGGAAAATTCATTCTTTGTGTTATGCACAACTTCAACATTGAGTTAAGTTTCCAATTCAAAGAGAAACATGAAATTATTTAAATTAAAAAACGACAATTTTGTTTGCGAAACTTCAACGTTTTGAATTCTTGAGAAATTGAATTTATTCATAGAAATGTTAACAAAAATATTTTTTTTCTATCTAACTGGATTTGAAGCATATTTTTGATTCCATTCTTGATTTTATATTTTTTTAAGAATTTTTTAACTGTCATTTAACGTCAGCTTTCTTTCTTCTTGGAATTCTTATCATTTCAATCTGGTTTTAATAAACATTTCTTTTGAGGTATTTTTTTTGTTTTGTTTTGCTTGTTCGCTTATTCATCTTTAGAGAAATATTTTGTTCATTTCAAACGATGCGGTTCAGAATAATGAAATTACTGAAGCTTTCCTTATGAAAATGTTTTTCATCGTATTGTTGGTGTTTTGATAGCTGTCGGGCTGTCCGAAAGCATTTTAATTTCGCTTGTTTGAGATGAAATAAAAAGTTATATAACCTGTTAGCTTTTCTCTTCTTAATGTTTCGTTAATGAATTATTTTTTCCCATTCAATGCCCGTAACAAACAATATACTCGTTCCATTAAGTGAGGCATATTGAAATCTGTTTTTCTCTTTTTTTTCCTACTTGTTTTTATTCGATAACATTAACTCGTCCCTCTGAACGAATAAAAGCATATTCAACCATACATTCACGAAGCTCCAAAGGTTTCTCTTTTTTCAATTACATTGAATGTTATATTTCCCTCTCTCTCCCCCTTTTTCTTTTCAGTTTTTGCTTCAATTCATGATAATAATGACATAAAAAGCGAGAAGACATAATATTCGAAAAGCAGCAAACCCAAGCAGCTTCTGTAGACTTTCCTAGTGAAATACTCATCGATAAGTAAACGGCAATTTGAATTTTTATTGCGTTTGGAGATGTCTTTTTATGGGAGATTTTTTATAGTATTAATCAAGATATTCCTCCATGGAATTTTCATCTGATTTGATTTCTTGGAGTGAGAATCATTCATTACAAATTGTTTTCATTTTTTTCCATGTGCCGATGGGCAGAAAAAAATAAAAAAAATTATAAGGTTTCTTTTTTCCATTTCTTACAACATTAAATGAACAATTAAGCTCTCATTTGCTGTCGAATCGCTTCTGGAATCATTTACTCTTCGTTCTCGATATAAAAAAATAATTCTTAATTAAATTTTGATGTTCTTTTGTTTGGATAGAAAACAAAGCAAAGCCAAATTGTTATTAATTCACGAAGGCAACGAAATCGCTCTGAAACGAGGATATACTTTTTAATTTATTGATGTACTTGGTGAGGTTTTAAAACAAAAATTAATAAAGCTCAGATTCCTGATAATCTATCGTCTGCATGGGACTACGTCGAAGTCGACAAGCCAGAAAATCGGGATGGTAAATGAGCTAAACGGTTTTTAATTAAAAAAAATAAGTGATTTATCATTGGATGGTTGAATTAAAGGGAAAGTTAACGAATTTCATTGAGAAAGAAATTTAAGATGATGTCGAAAATTCTCTCATCAGCAAAGACGTTTAGAATGAAACCCAATAAAGAAAAAAGCTTTTAAAAAGTTTAGATTTTTAAATTTATTAAATTTTTAATTAACTCAAGACTCTTTGAAATGAATGGAAGACCCGAAAAATAATAGATATGAGTCGAAGTTGACGATTAATAATCACTTTCTGAACGACTGCCTCTTTAGTCTTCAACGAGAATGTTCATTTCTCATTTACGAAGAAATAATTGAGGGACAAAAATGTCACTAATGGAAAACCTGCTGAAGGTCACTCACATAATGTTCAGCTCGTTATAAAATAAGAAAAAAATTTTGAAAGCCCTACAAGTTCTCGTTCAAGAGGGTGACCGAAATTTGAGAAGAGAAGTGGAAAATTCAATTCTAGTATAGATTCAAAGAAAATCGAAATGTGAACTCAAAATTTGAATCTTTGTCTACCTAAATAAGTCATGACGGAAAATTTTAAAGGTGAAGAAGAAAATAAGGAAAAGTCAGCCTGGAAAAGAAAATAAAACCGATAAAGAAATTTCCAAATTAACATTTGAATGACAAATTTTATTTTTCCATCCCACATTTTCTCGGAACATTCGACATTCTCATCCTATTAATGACTTTGTAATTTTGTTAGCTTGAGATTGATTGAGAGAGAAGAGTTAATTATAAATTAGTTAGACTCCATCCATCTCAATATAAACGGATGTTAGAGTAAGTGGAAATGGAATAATTTATGAAGTTATGCGATGAATATCAAACATGCGACTTGTTTCGAACAAGTTTCGTTCTTAAATGATTACGAAAAGTTGAGATTTTTTGGACAGGAAATTAATAACAATTCTACATCATATAGCAAGAATCATCTTTAAACATAATTATCAAACCAATAAATATTCATTATGCTTTCAAAATATCATTCAATGGGCTCAATTCATAGTGATAATGACAAATCATCATCATTTCTGCGTCATGTTTCGGAAGTAAATTGTACTTAGATATTTCTATTTTCTCTGGTGTAGGAAATGAACATTAGCAAATAATATCGAAATTCATTAGCTGCTATTAGCAGATAAGATAAAGCAAGTCATTGACATATATAAGAGCGCTTGAGCTTCATTGTTTCAGTTTTTGTTCCTACCATTCAGTTGTACGAACAATTTCAAACCGTGAGAAAACAAATAAAAATTTTCCAAGTGCCATTGATAATAAAAAAAAAACAGAGAGAAGGAAAAAGAAATTCCAGTTTTCAGTTCTTTTTTCAGTTTACAAAATATATGTTAAAATGAATTTTAATGTAATCATTTTTATCATTTCCACTCTCGCCTTATTCCCATTGCTAATTGAATGTTATGGTTACAATTGTCCCACAAGTAAACAAAAAAACAAAGAACGAATGAAAATTCTAATAACAAAAAACTTTTATCGTAAATTTTAATGATATTTTATTCTTTTTCTTCAACTCTCATTGTTGTACGCATCACGTCGTTCTGCCCGGGAAAATGAAAATTTCCGCAGATAACAAAAAACTTGTCTGCTACTTTTCAAGCTGGTCAAACTTCCGGTATTTGCTGAGTTTTGAAAATTAATACTAAATGTGTAAAATAATTAATATTTCTAGACTCGGTGATGGATTATTTCATATTGACAAAGCAGATCCGTTCTTGTGTACTCACCTTATTTACACATTTGCGGGATTGGATATCAACGGGCATATCATATCATTAGATTCTGATAACGACATCCGAGACAGTAAGCACCAACAAAAAAGTTTATCAATTTCCTTTTTAATGTGAAAAGTTTCTAATATCGAAATTGGTTGTAAGGAAATTATTATAAGGCGCTCGAGCTACGTGAACAAAATCCATGCTTAAAAGTTCTAATCGCAATCGGAGGTAAGTGTTCTACCGGACATAAATTTAAGTTTAATTGTTTGCCAAGACCGTTCTCAGTTAATAAGATGACTTGAACCAAGTTTTAACACAAGTTTTGTGACACTGAAAGAAAGTTTAAAATTTCTTAACAAATTTTTAAGAATTTTTTATGTCTTGTGACAATCTCAGTGTTTCTAAGAAAATTTTCGATTTTATTTTCAAGGATGGAACGAAGGAAGTGAGAAGTACTCAGTTCTTGCCGAAACGGAAGAATCCAGAAGAAACTTTGCCGATAATGCTTTAAAGTTTCTCGTTTTCTACGGCTTCGATGGCGTAAGAAATCAATTTCATTGAGATGCTATTATAAATTTTATCTTTGACTTTAGATTGACATTGATTGGGAGTACCCGGGGCTGGTGAGTGTCACTATTTATAAACAAACACAATTACTTTCAAAGTGATGATGACTGACTAAAAAAGTTTGTAATTTTTCCTTTTTTCTGAAGCGGGGTGGCATTAAAGAAGATAAAGAAAACTTTGTAAAGCTGGTAAGGACACTTAAGGCAAGACTGACGAAGCGTAACAAGATGGTGACAGCTGCATTAGGTGCCACGTCAGCTTATATCCGCGCGTCATATGCACCAATGAGGGAGCTTTGCGAGTAAATAAAAAAAAGTTTTTTCACAAACTCATTTTCCATCTCGAAGGAGATTGAAGAAAATGAAAATCATTATTGAATGTAATTTTTTCTCGTATTAATTCTCGATAGTGCTTTGGATCTTGTATTGATAATGAGCTATGACTTTCACGAGGTCAATCGTACTTCAATTAACGCTCCATTACATCGAGAAAAGAATCAGAATCCATTCACTGAAACAATAGCTGAGAATATTGATCTAATGATAGCCCAGGGATGCAGACCCGATAAGATGGTTATGGGAATTCCAATGTATGGCAGAACTTACACTCTGAGAGATGCGAAGAATCATGGAGTCGATGCCCTTGTTGAAGGACTTGGAGAGCCTGGACCCTTTACAGTTTCTCACGGATCATTAGGCTTCAATGAGGTGAAATATCTTACGACAGTTTACAAACGACTATGCAGTTTCATTTTTCACATTTACAACGTGTTTCTGTGTTATGACCTCATTTCAGATCTGTTTGGTTCTCAGTCATGGAAACTTTACGGTGAAATACTTAAAAAAGAATGCTTCAAAAATAGCTTACAGTGGAAAGCAATGGATTGCTTATGATGATCCTGAAACTGTCTATCAAAAGGTAAATACTTTCGCTCTACAAACATCCACTTAAGGATATCATCAATCAATCAGGATTCAGGATTTTTTTTTCTTCTCTCATTTCTTCACTTCCTTTCCACAGACCATGTTTGCGATGGAGAAAGGTTTAGGTGGTGTTATGTTCTGGACGATTGACACTGACGATTTTCGTGGCAATTGTTACAACATGTCGTATCCTTTGATTAACACATCGAAGAAACTTATTAATGATTATACGAAATCGCGTTCCTAATCCATTGATATTATCCGATAATGCAGTCATGCGAAATTTAAACATCGACCACAAACAACTTCCTTATCATTCTTGACTTAAAGCCAATGCTTATGTATGCTTTAAGTGCTTTTCTTGTTGACTTTTATCACGGCCATGTAATCTATTAAATTGTTCACATAAACCAATTTTCCTCGTTACATTTTCGACAAAAATTAATTGAGTGTGAAAGCTTTTTTGTGTGTTGTTTTTCACTTCCATCTAAGCATCCATTTTCCTGACTGAATGTAATCTTTCTAGGAAAAACAAGTCGCTCGTGCAAACTATAGAGAAGGACATTTATCCAAAGAATGTTTCTGCTGTTTTCCATTGTGTTTGTTTCTAAATCCTTAGCGGAGTATCACGGTGATAATTTTATTTCCTTCCATTAGTTTTTTCCGGATGACACAGAAACAACTTTGCTTTCTTTTTTGTATACGGTAAATGTGATTTGCTGCTTCAGCTCAATCCAAGACCAATGTTTTGTATTTTCTCAATAAACAGATTATCTACGTTTTAATAAATTAAAAACATCAGCAGGTAAAATTTCTGGTAGAAATCATTGAACTTTCCCTCATCGATATTTATTTTTGTATTTCTTGAAGCAACAAATGTTGTTATTTGTACAAGATGTTAAGTAATTTTCCTTCCCATCGTCTTCATTTTTATCAGAAAATTAATATTTTAAATCTTAATTCTTCCTGATAACAATCAATTTAAGAATTTATGGGAAATTGTCGACAGCAATATCAGTCACGTAGTTAAACAAACTAAGGAAACTTTATTAAAAACTTTCACCATTTTAATTTCATTTTTAGAGAAAAAAATATTAAAAAACTTAAATAAAAGATTAAAACGGAAATTGACATAAGCAATAAAAAAGGAAAAAAATTTGAATGAACTTAATCTTTCTTTTTATCACGAATATAATTTTCTGCTAAGCTCGCATTCGTGCATTTTTAAATTTCCGTATTCTATCGTGTACTTTCTTGAAGAAATTAAATATTTCATGAACTTGAATGCATTAGAAGCGTTTGCGAGTGGCATTGTTCGGATAAGTGTTGAACAAGAAAAAATTGAAAACGTTTGCGTGATCAAAAGCTGAACAAAAGCTTCACGATAATTCTTAATTTTAGCAAAAACCCATTGAGACTGTCAAATGTTTTAAATTTCATTTCAAAGTTTATGAATTTTGATTGTGTTTGTTGTATGGAAAATTTTTTTGCGTCAATTTTCTTCTTCTTGCTTTGTGTTTAGGAGTGAGTGCTGGCAACTTTTGTGGCAAATGAACCTGATGTCAATAGACAGCTGGATAGAAAACATAATAAATAACATTTCATAAAAAATGTACGTTTCATCGATTTTTCTCACTACCTAGTTTTGATACGGACGATGTGACAGCGTGTGACGTTGTTGGATGAAGGAATTTGTTCGTCATTTTTTAAAAAGTCAAGTCTTAAGAGAAAGGAAACATTTTATAGCTTTAAACAACACAGTCTCGCTTGGTGGCATGATGAAATTAAAGCATTGCTCGTTCTACTTGTCAATGTTATTCGTGAATGCCAAGTTAATTGACAGAAACAAGTTGCTCTCCATTACCGCTGCTGATTACTTTATTTCTCCATCACTTTAACATTTCGTTTTCATTTCTCTAGCTTGCCTTCAATTCTTAAACATAATTAGGGAAATAATTGGTCACAAATCATAACTAATTAGATATCATAGAGTGCTTTTGTTCGCTCACTTTTACGTTATCGATCCAAAAAGCTCTTCTCTCTTTACAACTGTTACGTAGTTATTTTACTTTAGATTCTTAATGATGATGTTCTCTGTTCACATAAACATTTTGTTGTACAAACATTTTCCTCCTTCTAATCTTCAAACTCTGCGGGATGATAAAGAATTCAACTTCGAAACATAAACAAATCCAATTTCATGAAAGAGTAATTCATCATATTAACGGTTTTGCGAGATTTCAACAGCACAAGGGAGGAAGAGATTTTTTTAATATTACAACCTTTCGAAAATAGAACAAACTTGTACACATCAAAAAATAATTTGCGATCTCACCGTCTCTAAAGACGAATTTTCTTCTTACTTTTCTTATATTTCCGTAAGCTGACTACTGAATTTAAATCATTTTCCGTTTCTTTTTTTCTGCCATATTACATTTGGTTTCTTTTGAAACTCGCTTAAATCTCAGGACGAACATCTAACTTTAACTCACGTCCGCTGCATGAAGAGATTATTAATAATCTCACTCACGTTTATGAAATTCGCAAGAAAAACCAACTTCTTTAAGAATATTTATTTCAAAAAACTTTTTTTCCTACATGGACAATTAATCATTTGTATAAGAAAGCATATAGGAAGGAAGGAAAGCGCTTTGCAAAGTAATTTAAAGCTTAAATGCTTTACTAGTAGAGAAATTGGAGTCGTAGCTTTTCGAACGAATCTTAACACTGAAACGACAATCTAAATGGTCTATAAATTTTAAACTGAGAAAGTAAATTCACAGATTGCCTTCTAAATTACATATAAGTTTATTCGAGAGTAAAAATTCAACGTCTAGTTTAACTTTCATTAATCGTATTTAGTTTGGAACAGAAGGCAAATAAATTAAAAGACGAAAACTTTTCAACCAAAAATTAAATTACTTTTCGCATACTTTTTATTAAGATTTTTAAAAGAAAACTTTCCTTGACGGAAAAGTTTTCTAAACTTTACGCAATGAAAAACTTTTTTCTTTGAATACCAATCAATACGTTAATCAGCATGTTATAGACATTACCGATAAATTTCTAAATAAGATTATGAAAAATGAAATTGCAGAAGTTATTCAACATTAATTTTGATGCTTCCCAAACGCTTATCACATAGAAGCAAATCATCAAATGAATTTATGTAGAGTTGAAAAGTAACTTTATGATGAATCGAATGGAATGTCAATAAATCATTTGCATACCTAACACAAAATATGAATCGCTGCTTTTTACAAATTGTTATTTTGATTTATTGCTATTCGATTTTCAAGCTTTCAATGTTTTTTGTTGGATTGAAAAGAAATCGTTTATAAATCATGAATGAAAATCTTTACATTACTTGCTTCTCTCTATGCATTCTTTTAAAACTGAGTAAATTTGTGGGTAGATTTTTAGCAAAAAGGAAAATTTTTTGTAACCCCTCATGGGACAATTTTTAAACCTGATTTCTGAATCATTAAATCGAAAGGTATCAAAGTTATACAGTGGAGCCTTGATAAGCCGATACTTCAATAAACCGATAAACCTCGATGAACAGATTTTTTTTGTCCCCCTTGAATCGAATTTATATTGGAACTTACTTCGATAAACCGATGGCCTCGATATTCCGATAAAACTTGAGCCATCGGCTTTTCAAAGTTCCACTGTATTTTACTCTATATTCGACTACAACAGTTAATAAATCAATTATCAAGTTGAAGTGGTCAAAGCTATCAATGCTAATCATTATTATTGGAAAGTTAAAACTGAATTCTCGAATCTAAACATTGATTTAAACTTTAAATACACAAATTTAAGTTGCTAGCCCATGAAAGTTCGCATTAACATGCAAAATGAAAACTTTTAATTGGAAACTAATGTTGTTGCAGTATCTGCAAGAGCAGAAACAGCATTGAAAAACAGTAAAGGCATACATTTTACCTCAGCTTTATTGTTTTGGAAAATTAATTTCCTTCGGCAGATGAGTTATGAATTATCGATAATAAATTTTGCCTATTCATATCGGTAACAGCGAGAAAGTTCTTCAAAGAAAGTGCTAAGAAAGGCGGAATGGTAAAGCAGATCCATCCCAAGTCAAGATTTATCGTTTTTGATTGTAAAGTTAAGTAGGGCGAGAGATGTCTTCTACACGAGTGAAAAAGCAAGAAATGAATTTTCCTTTTCCCCTCATACCTTGGCACTTGGACAGAACGAAAGTTTCGAAAAGAGAAGCGAAAATTGATGGTAACTGATAAATTTTCAGGTTTTGGTATGTCGAATGCTAATCTTTTTGTAATCTTCAGCCGGAAGAGAATTCAAGCGGATGGCATTGAATTTTTTTTTCCTCTGTTTTATAAAGCTTGGGTGGATCTTTTAAAAATTTATGACGGAAATTATAAAGGAAATTAAATGTTCTTAATAAGAATCAAAAGAAAAGTTTCCGAAGAGATATTTTAAAGATTTTTCAGAAGATTAGAAATTATTTTAAAAGATCAATAAAAGGGTCTTTGATGTTTCATTTCAAAAGATGTCTTTATAGAAATAATAAAGACGCAAATAACGATTTGGCATTCGCTATGATAGTAAATATTTCTGAGAAGAACATCCGTTTTCTAAAAAACCAAAAAATGAGTCAATAAACTTTGCTACTCTTCAAAAGAATGCCCACAGCAAGATCTTTTATTTACGTCAAAATCATCAGAAATCTTTCCAAATGCCTTTCATTCGTTGTCGAGCGTAAACTGATAACACAGCAACGTTCCCTGATTACGTCACAAGCTGCCTTCATTTGTTTAGAAGCTTTGTTTTCAATGGAATATTCGACTTGAGTATGTTTCTCGATAACAATTTTTTATGGAATTTCTTAGGAAAACTTGACGTGAGTGAAAGATGTAAATAAGAATCTATCAAACCTTTTTATGATTCTTTCCTTCCTTTAAAAAAAACAGAAACAACTGAAGCATAAAAGTTCTAGCTTAAGGCTTCGTCGATTTATAAACAAATGGGAGATGAGAAAAATAGCTTGAAATCGATCCTTAAATGTAGCAAGAAGGCAGGCGAACGCAATTTGCTTCGAGCATTGTAAAACAAGAAAGAAATTAATCATGCTTCTATTGAATACATACATCTTTTGTATCTCTTCGGTATCTAAAGCAATCTTCTAATACTTATTGGTGTTGTTTAAAAGCATTCTTTCTTTCACCGTTGATTGATGGGTAAGTTCAAAGTGTTTCACAATCACATCCCATCAAGGCGACACTCTTCTTTCCTTTTCGTCACAGAAAACAAAGAAACTTGTTTCATAAACTTTGGTGACTAAGGCGATTCTTTTCTACCACGGGTTTTGGTTATGTCAAGGTCAGAGCATCTGTGGAAACTGTTTTAAAAGCTTAAGATACACTTTGGGGCTTGTTTTGCTGACACTTTACAAGATTCTCAAGAATCTTTTTTTTTTTCACTCCATGAGCCTAACACGTACCTATTTTCGGGGTTGTTATATTTCTCAAGCTAAAATGGCTTAAAGGCGAAATGTTAAACGTTTGGGCGACAAACTTTTGCTAAGGATTTTCCTGGGCCTGAGGTGAATGAGATAATTTGGATCTTCCTTCAAAAATACATAGTTCAGCAATGAGTGTAAGAGTGTTCCATTAAGAAAAGTCTCAAATTACTTCTTAGGTTGTTTTTATTTTTTTTCTGTTGGTAGCAGAAGTGAAGTTTTTATGGTAAAAGTTAAAGAGAAAAGTTTGATAATTATACGATTGGCTGAATGTATTTGCAAAACTCAGTGATTGAAGCTGTTAATATTTAATTTCTTTCAAATCTTAACAGGAAAATTAAAGGTTAAGTGAATACAAATATTTAATTTTTATAGTAATTTTTATGCAAACAAAGCGTTTTCGAGCGTTTTATCGTAAATTTCATTAATAAACAAAAACTTTTTAACCATAACATTTTAATATAAATCAAAAATAACGCTAACATTTCAGAAGCCTTAATGAGTTGCCAAAGTGCTTCTACAATGCTTCAAAAATCAGAAAAGTGCTCTACTGCCACATAAATCATTTATTTGCATTTTATTTTTGCCAAATTTTCAATAACAAAAAGCTTTATGTATAACAACAATGATTAACAGGTGAATAAATATTTTACATTTATACAGGTCGCATTCACATACACCCACATAAACGTGCGTGTTTCATTTATAACAGTGCAAATGTAAATATATTTCATGTTTCGCATATTAATATCGCTTAAACTTCACCGAAAATTAATTTGCAAATTCGGTTTTGAGCAAGAAAAGGAATTCGCAAGCGTGATTAAATTTGGCACATTCCATGGGTAGAAGGAACAAAGTTGGAATAATATATGGATTTGTGTTATTTTATCACAATAACGACTTCTTGATGTTTATATTTTAGTTCATTTCCGGATTGCTATGAATGGAAATAATGAAAATTAGGTAATAATTGCATGCACATAGTTTGATAAAGTTGTTGAAACTATGAGAACACAATTAGACGTCTGTTATGCAAGACATTTAAATTAAACTCCTATTAGAGTCAGATTCTCATTAATCGATGCTCTTTTCTCATTCTATCTCCTACTTGCCATGCTGCAAAGAAAGCTTTCCGCTCGAAGGCTCTTGTACAGAACTGTTCTGCTTTAGAGCATTGGGAATTATATTATCATGAGCATTATAAATGCAATGAAAGTTTCATTAAGTTTTAAGTACTTTTGAGGTTGACTAACATTTGTTGATAATGGTGAAAGATTTTTTAAGTCTAAGCTTTTATTCAAGGAATTTTAATGTTGTGTAAAACGATTTTTGTTAGGAATCATTTAAAAATTACGTTACTATAAATTAATCTTCAACTTGCTTTTTTTTTCGTGTTAAACGTTCGCCTTTTTCTAACAACCTTGAATGGTGCCGGAAAATCTTTTGTCTAGAAGTTAATTTAGTAACCTTTCTTCAACAAACTTTCATAGTAAAACTTTTATAAGAAATTTTCGCAGAATGCTACCCTAAAGCTCAATTAACTCAATCACAATCATGACGTTTATAAAAAAAAAGTTTCTCAACAACACGTAATTTCATTTCGTGGTTAACGATTTTTCCAAAAAAGAAAAAAGAAAATATTGAAAAGAATTTTTTCATACAATTTATTCGGTTCATTGGTTTCGTTTTCGTATCATAGCAAAATAATTTTATCCAATCTGACGTAATATCAAAATAAATTTTCATGAGAGACGTGTGACATGTGAGCTCACATAGTGTGAGAATCTGTTGCCAGTAGTTCGACGAGAATGCCTTATACGGTTTAAATATTCTGTGTCAGAGAGCGCAAGTCAGATTAATGTTCAACAAATGGAGCTCTAACAACAGATATCACTGACAATTGTTTTGAATTAAACTTCAATAATTTTATCATTGTTCGTTTGTTGTCATAACTCAAAAGACAAATGGAACCACAACAGATTGGCAAAGCAAACAATAACTGAACGTAACATGAGTCAAAGTCAGAAACGATTGAACAAAAATCCTTATGTGTGTGTATGCATGTTTAAATGAAATGATACATGTCATAAGTCTTAATTTCTAAGCTTTCTCTTCTTGCTTCGTAACAAATATCATGTCACTCTTGTGTCACTGAGAATCCTCGTTGTATTTAAAACAAAATGAAAATTCATAAGAGAAGGATAAGAAGAAGAATGGAAATGTAAAGTATCGTCAAGGGAAAATCAACTCAATTTACCGCCACAGCTAAAATGATTTTTATTTCTTCTGATGTGAAATGAAATCACATTAATTTTGTCTGAAAGTTATTTTTAACGAACGAAGAATAAGCATAGAACAATGTTGAAAGGTTGTTGAACCATGACGACATTTAATTAAATTTCACGCTCAAGTCCTTCCTAAATATTCACTCAAAACTGAATAATTATTCATTTACACAATGTCACTGGCAAGGGAAAAGTGATTTACTATGCAAAACGATTTTGTCTGCTTTCTGTTGCTTTGCTTATTGTTTCATTTAATATAATATAATATCATAATGACAGCTCATCATCAGTTCACAGACATTCATCAAAAAGGATTTTTTATTTCAACAATAAAGATTTACTCTTATTTCAAGTGCATCGGCTTGAGTTAGATCCTTTGAATTCTGTAGAAGAGAAAAGAAGCATTTCATGCCACATTACTTGGGATTTATACACAATTTTTTATCGTGCATTAAATCTGCTTTATAGACGACGCCTGAGATATCGCAAAGATATGTTTTTCATTTTATGAAAATATTTAAATACAAAAATACAGCTTTGCCGCCTTTAAATTCATGGCTGTCTGCGATTTTATTGGAATTCACTCGATGATATTGACAGAAAATGCTATAAAGTTTGTTTTATTGAATTTCGCGTGTGAATAAATCATAAATGTATTGTAATCCCTGCCAAAAATGTCTTAGTTTTCTGATTAATTCGCAGGGATTTTCCGGTCATTTGAGGAGATTACTTTCGCAACTTTATATAGGTTTTCCGAGTAGAAATAATTCAATTATCCGCAGGAAGAAGAAATACGAACAACTTTTCATCATAACAACTAAGATCTACTTGCGGCCGTCCATTTCTATGGAAAATGAATAAACTTCTGAAAGCAAAACGAGACCAGAAAAGTTTTGCATCTTGAAACTTTGTTTTCTTATTTTTCTTGTTTATGGTTACGAGTATGATGAAAAACATTCTTATTAAACTTGAAAAGGAAGAATTGTAAGTTAGACTACAATTTTATACCATAAAAGTTTGTATCTCGTTGCTTTGTCATTGACATCATATGAATTTATTCCCATATTATTCCCCATTTACATGTTGATTCTTACAAAACATTTCCAGGTTTGATTACGTTCACTTCACGAGAAATATGGAAATAAAGAATTTTCATTCTGTTTTATTTTTGTAGAAGGCAACATTAATTCGAGCATAAGAGGAAGAAATTCCGAAAAGGACTTGATTTGCTGATGAAACTTTCACAATCAAAATTTATCATAACATGTGAAATTTTTGGATTTTATTTTCAATGTTCAATACTTGAATCGAGGGAGGGAAAATAAACAAGAAAAAGGTAGTCGAGTTCTATTTCCATTCAAATTCCTTCCGAGAATTTTGTATTGAGTCGAATGAAAAACAATTCTGTGAATTCATTCAAAAGTTCAGCGAACATTTCAAATTGAATTCTGATTCAATAAACATGTTCGACCAAATTATTCTTATCGATTCTAACCAACACTAAATGTATTGGTTAACGATAGACCACAATTTATGTTTGATCAAGTTTCACTTGTGGTGAATGAAGTTCAAAGGAAATTTTTGTCAGAAAAATGTTTAATAACTGCAGGAAAAAGATTTTCCCTCTTCTTCCGAAACTCTGAAGAAATAATCGGAGTGTAATTTCCTTGATGCGATTTGGTTACGCATATAAATTTCTTTCATACTCATATAAATTCACCTCAAAATTGAATTATTCATACAATTAGTTCTGTGAATATTTTACAAACAAATGTTGATTTTTATTTAATTTGCCTTTGACTTTGCTTCAGGTAAATTGAGTCCTTTGAACTGTGTGAACCCTTGAAAAATATTTAATATCTTGGAAGTCTTAATTACATTTTCTTTCTTGCTGTGCATTAAAAGTATGAAATGGAACCCTTCACATTTTTTTAACTTTCTCGAAACCACTTTTTGTCCACTGAATTTGAGTTTAACTAACCTTTTGTGGGACAAAAATGACATTTCCTTTTTTTCTTTAATTTTCCGTCTTTCATATTTTGAAAAGAGATAAATGAAATGTTGAAAGTTATGAAAAAAAAGGTAAAGAATTCTTTGTAATTATTTACCTTCCTGTGTTCTTTTTTGAAGTTGAGCTCCCAGCGATAACTTCACTGCAATCGAATAAAGAGAAAGTTTCTGAAAATTAATCAAAGAATTAATGAATATCTAACTGAATATCAAATATGCGATCAACCCCTTCAGGTCGTTATGATGGGTGAATATTTAATGCAGATTTTTTTAACGTTCATTCATTTACATTCGCCATTCATAAAAAAAAAGTTGAAGAATTTTTGTGAAAGAAAATCGTTTTACAAAACTCATAACCGTTAAATGAGATTCAAGAATTAAGATGAAAATTCTTGCGGTGAATTTTTTCTCCTTTGATGTTGAGTATTTTTCGTGAAAGGTCAAAAAAATTATTAAATTTTTACTGGCTTTTTGGATATTCTTTCCCTCACCTTCATTCTGCAGTCAATGAATAAAAAATAAGATTGAAAATCATATTTTCAAGACTTACAAAGTTTTATTTATGCTTCTCAACTAGCAGCTGAAAAATGCCAGACATTCCTCTCCTTTCTTTCTCCGTCCATCCTTTAATCAGCAAAAATTTATTTCATCGCTTGATAGCACAGAAAAAAAATCGAGGAAAATCAATTGTATCGGAATTTCACACCACAACAAATACGATTCGAAAAAGCATTGAATGATTTGGAAGCGAAATGATAAATCACCACCAATTTATTTTTGATTATCTTTGGAAACTATTAACGTACACAACCGCAGAAAGCACACAGGCTGAAAACACAAATTGAATTGATTTATTTTATTATCTCTTGCCTCCCCCACTTTTCAAATTCCCTCTGCTCACACTTTCCTTTCTCAAACTTGACTAGGACGAGCTTCTTTTTAAATGATGATTTAATGATTTGATTTGCGGAACCCTATTTATGCTGAATTTCCTTCGACCTAATAGCATTTATAAATTTTCGAATGGGAAAAGCGAACTGTATAAATATTTGAAAACAATAAATTCTTTATCAGCACCATTGACTTTTTCGTTTGCTTTAGAGCAATAACTTCATTCCATAACTCAACTTAAGTCATGTGAAAGATCTTGAGGCTGAAAATATCGGGTAGTAACAGAACTCGGCTTTTACTAAAATACTTAAAAATTATCTGATTGGCAATCTCTTTATTATGCTTCCATTGAGTTTAAGCAATGCCAATGGGAAAATTTTCCAAGTCATTTGCCTTTAAATTTTTGAATACGCAAGGGAAAGCTTTTCTGAAATAATTTTAAACTGGAAATATTCATCTGCTTTATGATTTCGTGTCTTGAGATTAATCTTTGAAACGATCTTTGAAAGGAAGCAACAGCAACAGCAACACAAAAGATTGTAATCTTTACTACATTTATCATTTTTGAAGCAATATGTATGTACATAAAAAAGCCAACACTCTGACATAGAAGACGTTTAACGATTGTTCCCACAACAAAACAAATCCCTGATATTATCCTTCAAGTGTAAAAGCCATTTTCATTTCTCTGTCATAAAATGTCCAAAGAAGCAGTAAAACGATGTGATATCGCCTTGAGGCTTTATTTTATTGCTAAATGTCATTAAAAATTTAACAAGACATTCTTTTGCCGGATAGGTGGTGACGAAAGAAGCGAAAGAATCAACTCCGACAGTGCCCATAACTTCAACGCAAAGATCCATAAACTTATAATCGCTAGTCACGCAATGTTCGCTTGAAATGATGAACAGTTTTATCGGTTTTTTCCGGTGATAATAATGGCGAGAACGAAAATGGGACGATTTTAATCGATTCTCAAAAAAGACAATAAATAGCAAATCAGACTTTTGCTTCTTTCACTACGCATGCTGAATTTATATTTGGTTATTTACAATCCTTTCCTAAAACTGATGTAGTCAGTAGTAAGTAAGGGTGTAAGTAAAAAACGAGTAGCTATCTAAAATTGTCTCGTTCAAAATGCTAAAATAATGCATTTGAGCTGAGCTAGGCAATTTTATTGTCATTAGGATTCATTCAACGAGCGTATAAAAAGAAATGGGGATTTATTTCGCCTACAAATGTTTGGTAGAATAAATCTAAAAAAAAGAAGAAAGTTTCATGTCAAATGGTTAAGTTGAAGACTTGCTTTGATCTAACGAAAAACGGAGTTTCATCGAGTCAGCCATTAAAATGTAATTTTTATGTGAACACTCTCCGAGGGTGTTTTTCTTCTTTCTTCTTCCTTCCGAAATATGTTTTCCATTTCAACCGATTCGTTGTTGTTATTTTTTTTTTACTTTTTGCATGTAATGGGCTTTAGGTTAATGTTGTGGATGAAGTTTTGGTGTCGGCTTATCATGATAATTTGCTCGACTGATGTTTTCGCCCCATGAGTTGTCATAACTTTGGTGAGGCTTCTTCAACATTTAGCAATATCACCATACGTGAATTGATTTCGATGCCGATAAAAAGACGCGCTTAGGCGCTTAGGCGCTTAATTTGACGACGCCTTATGATATTTTCCAACTTTTACAACCATCGCGTGCTGTATACCAATGAACAGTGGATTAAAATACAACTCCAGGCGCTAATAAAAGTAATTCGAAGGAAATTCATGATACGCATTTTTCTACTCGCGCTCCATGCGACATAAAAGCAGTAAAATCAGCCAAGTGTCAAACTATTGAAATTACGAACATAAGAAAGCAAGAAAGAACTGAGAATTATTTATGCCAAGACATCTAATCAAATGCATAAATTAAGTTATTCGAATCAAAGACATTTCTCACATTTCATCCTTCACCTGCTACTTATTTTTAACCTCCATTAAGGAATGTGTTTAATGATGGCCTTGCAATCTTTAATAAGAGTAATAAACAGGTCTGCACAGGATATTTATATTGTTAGTTGTTACTTATGAATTATAATGGACTGAAATTATTTTAATTCTTATAATTTTGTAATGAACTTCATTTTATTCCATCAAATATTTCTAATGTGTAGCTTGAGGTTTCGTCATTCCTCTCGTTTTAAGTATGAAATAATTGTCCCAATCAGAATAGTTATTAATAGCCATTCTCAGAGCTTTGTAGAATCCTGGGAAATTTTATGCTTAGCTTATCAAAGAATATATCCGAAAAGGAAAAAAGTCTGTCACTGTGCATCGTCTGTTAATAATCTAATATTATTCTGTAACTTGTTCTTCCTGGCAATCAAAAGCTTAGGAAATATCCTCTTAAAAAAATCAACTCAATTTACCAGGTGACGCAATGTTGAAATAATACCTTCCAAGTGGAAATTCTTACGGAAATATTGAAAATGGGCTTAAAAAACGTTAAATGCAAATTTGATCTTGAACTTCTAATTTTCCTATCATTATGGAAATTTAAGCGCAAAACTCAGTACTTTGCTATCTACGCGTAAGTTTAACAAAGAATTTGTGCCGTGAAGAAAAATGAGGGAAGAAAATCATTTATCTAAGCTAAGAAAAATTTCTTCATCATACGTTTACACAATATTGAATTAAATTAAAGTCAGTCGCTGTCATGGAATAAAATGAGAAGAAGAAACTTTTTTAATATTTAATCTTTCGTCAAGGCAAATGGTAAAATGATGAAGAGGAAAAAATGTCTGGTGTCTTAACGTGTACGTCTGTGAGTGAATAAATATAAAGCTGTGGAAAAAGAAATTATTTGGTTTCATGGTAGCGCGCAAACTTTTTCATTAAAAACTTTTATCATCACGGAATTCGATATTGAAATTTTATAATTGCTTACGCGATGAGTAAACTTAGCAATGTCAGATGAACTGAAAAGAAAAGTGTCATGCGTTGGATTCCCCACTTTATTATATCGTAAGGGTAAAAAGTGCAAGTTGAAGCTTATTCGTTTACCATCTTAGACGTTCTTGTTGTTTAATTTATTTATGATTTAATGCTTCACTCATGCATTGACTATTAACTTTTGCTTCCCCAAATGAAAGTCTGCAGCTAAATATGTATAAATCAAATTACCACCATCATGAAACCAAAATCAACACATGACAACACAAGGGTTTGGGATAAGAATGGAAAAAAGAGGGAATGAAAAAATGATGATGCTTAAAATAACATTTTCTGATTTTTCTTCATTCACTTGCTCCTCACCTTCTTCTTTAACACGGCCTGGAGAAAAGGTAATGACAGTAAAACCCTTAAACTTTCGTATAGAAAGCCGTTTTCATCCCCATGAATTCTTATTCGTCTTGTCACGTTTCTACGTCTCTATGTATGTGCATACTTCGATGTATTTTTTTTTTGATAAATGATGTAGAATGATCCCTCATTGTGTAAACATACCTGTAAACATCAAAATGTATTTGCATGAGACATAAACAGATTTTAGTCTTCTAAAAATTTCATATAAACGAGAAAGTATCAAATGAATGTATCGCGTTGAGGGCGTAATCATAGAATAATATTCAACGAAGCTTTACATGAAAACTTCATTAAAATCCTAGAAAAATGTTTCTTTTTCTTTGAAGCGCATAGACGAGATCAACAAAAAAAAGATGAAAGATTCCCTATCACGCTAGAGTGACAAAAAGATAGCAGAAATAAAAAAGTAGATACAAAAATTTGTTATCTTAACTCTGCGATCATAAATTACATAAAGATATCTTTTTTAATGCGTCTTTTTTATTTTTCTTTCTGTCAGCCTCCCACGCGATATACAGCAAACAACGATGAAAATTAGATTTCTCTCCCATCTCGTTCAATTTTCCTTGTCATCATAGCGCTTTCATTTTTTTACTTTCGTCTTAAATATTGAGTTGGCAGAAACAACGACGAGGCACGTTATAAAAAAAAGATCGAAATTAATTTATTTATTCTGTTGAATTTTGTTCGCTGTTTTTCGTCATTGTGATTGACTTGGAAAATTTCCTAGCTTGTTATAATATAAATATGTTTTATTACTGAATCTCCTTTAATTAAAGTATAATCTAAGGCTTTATTAATTCCTATTTATTCACACTTCACTTTGATCTGTTTTTATCTTGTGATTATAAACACATTGATGGTGACATACATCACACATAATTAAAGCTTTCGAGCTTAACATAAACCTTGAAGCAAGCGCATTGATGTTAATTCGAAATTTCTTATTAAGAGTCAACGATGCATGAAAACCTTCAAAACAAAAACAGATTCAAGGTTTTCAACATCAAAAAATTATTTCTGGGAGACAAAAAAGCTCTTAAGTGCAATGTTTCGAAGTAAAAACTGTTCTCTGTCGTCTGTCGCTTTAATTATTTGCCTCAATAAATTAACTTTTAAAACTCAAAAACAGTTCATTTGAAATTCTGATCCACAAGATCAAAGCAAGGAAAACTTTTGCCGAAACTTTTCCCTTGCTACGCTTTTCCTCACAACAACAGCAACACAACCCTCATCATACATTAAACATTAGTATGACCAACGATCACTTGTGTGCATTTAAATTTAACGCTTTTAAAAACAGTTTTGCTGCATTGCAGTTGATGGGTTGATGTTGCTCTTGGATAAAACGTGTATACACGATGCTTGTCCCTTGACATATCCCAAGAGCGTACATGAGATATGAAGCAGGAATTAATGTTGAAAAATAATCTGCTCCATGGTATTTAATAAACACCTAATAAAGTCATAGAATGAGAGTGCTGCGCCGTCGAAAATTATTTGATATACAGCACCAACAGTCGCAGAAAAATGCAAACAATTTTCTCAGTTGAAGCTTTGTGCATACTCAACATTACACCATGCATGAGAGTATGTTTTTAAAAGAAGAAACATTAACGACCAATGTAATTGACTGCCAAGTTTCTCGGCAACGAAGGAAGGTGATTTTCTGCCACTGTGAATAATGTTTAAAATATACGTAACATGTGGCACCATGAGTGGAATTTCCAATGTGATATCAACTTTAACGTAACATTGGATGAACATGTTGTATCGCTGTAATTAAACAAAGGATTAAGGATAAAGGTAATCTCGAGTGTAAATGGAAATTTCAATTGCTCTGTGTTGTTTCTGATAGCTACAAAGCTGCTTCACTTGCGATAAAATGTAAGCACTTTTATTTGCCTTGAGCTTGCTATTAGTTGTTTATAAATAAGATAAGTTTCCATTTTATTACAGAAATCCTGATACTAAAGGAACTATTATTATTATAATGGAAACTTAAGAACTCATTAAATTCCAGATTTTATATAATTCTGAATACGTTGCTTTGGTGTTGAATGAAAGTCTGAAATGGTTGCGCCATCTGATACCAAGCGAACTGATTTATAATTCATTGAATCGAATCGATTTTCAATATTACGTTTCTTCAACTTGAAAGGGCGTCTTATTACTTTTACTAATAAACAAATGAGTTGGAAGTAGCAGATGTTCCAAATTACCACAAATAACGAAACATTTTAATCTAATAAAAGGTAGAGAGTGCATTCCTTAAACTGAAATACATGACTTTTTATAGCTGCACTTTACTGCCATAAAATTCTTTATGCATTCCTCTTAACGACAATTATTATCCGTACGTTTTGTTTATGTTCCTATAGCATGCAAACATGAGGAAACATTTGAAGAAAGTTGAAATTTCTGAAAAGCAAACAAGTTTGAACAGCGTGAAACAAAAACAAAAACCAGAAAATCAGGAAACCAACAGAAATGTTTTCCTTTTTGTTACTTGCACTTCATATGCTGACAGCGACAACTTTCAAACATACATGAAAAGATTTTTTTCTTTCTTTTATAAACATCGGCTCAGCTGTTTTGTGGCTTTTTCCTTTTAACAATAATCTTCGGAGGTAGATTTTTAGCTTAGCAACTAGACTGATAAACTTTTTTTTGTGTGACAGCTTTGAACGTAAAATAAACTTGAGAAATTTCAGAGAAGTTTGTTTTTAAACACTCGAATGTTAACAAAGCTATGATGTACATAAAGCTTTTAAAAGAAGAGTTAATCACAGAGATTAATCACGCAATACATAAAGCTTTAACAATTCTAAGCTTAGGGAAAAATTTAAGATTTGTTTGGTATTTTCGAAAGTTAACATATCTGGCTTAAAAAAAATAAATCTGACTGACAGCCTCTCACAATTTAACATAATCATTGAAAAGGGATGAAAATTTAAAAAGAGAAAAAGGATTTTATTATCTGAGTAAGTATTCTGTTGGTCACTCATAGGTGAGATTGAATATTGTAATCCGGTAAGCTGCAATGTAAAATTCTTACAGACATCGTACCTTGAAGCAATGAATAAAAGGTTAAAAAAACATTGCGAGATGTTTAGCATCCCTTTTCTCTGTCGAATTTGCTCTATGTACGTAATTTTCTTTTAAATATGAAGAGAAACTTTACATGCACATGACGAGATTGAATAGGAAAAAAAAGGGGAAAATTCAATTTGACTTTGGGGTATAAAAACAAAATTCTATTTGCAAGCCTCTCTCTTTGATGATAAATTCAAAAGAATCTCCGTTTTATTCAATCGAAGGAAATAAAATAAAATTGAAGGGAGATGTGCCGATAGCACATTTGAAGAAATGGAGAAGAATTCATCACATTGGGTGAAGGCGTTTTCTAGGAAATTGATGTCGATACTACATGTCTAAGTAAGACCGGTTTAGGCATTTTATAAAAAAAAGCCAAAGTCACATTGTATATTGTTGTCAACGATTGACCTTCTTCCTTTCAATAAATTGTTGATCCATAAAAAAGAGAGAAAAGAAGGAATGAAAAGGGAAAGCAGTTCGTGTTAAACGTCTCGTCGCTACAAAATATTCGAGCAGGAATTTGTAAATATTTTTTTGCTACATAGATAACAAATGTGTATCGATTATCCTTCGTATTCATGTCAGTATGTTGTTGGCTGCTGTCGTTGGCATGAAAAGCAGAAAAAAAGAAAATATCAAGGCAATATAATGTATTTCTTTAAGAGCTTGGTTGTGCTTGAAGATAGAAGAAGAGATTTCATTTTTTTTACAAAAACATTAGCGTTCAAAGATAAAAAATTTCTTTACGAACATGAGAAGAAAAAGAAAACTTGAGGAGGATGCTTTTAGAATACAGTCACGTCTTCTAACAAGCACGAGGCAGAATAATCTAAATTTTTTAATAAAAGATATAAAATGACTTCATTGAAATTTCTCTTTAATCCTTAACGGAGGCTTTTAACATTTTAAATCAAATCACGTGGTTAATTTAAAATGCACTTTGATAAAAATTCTGGTTGATTTGTCTTGGTAGTGATATTCAATCAAAGAACTTTATAAGCTGTTGGCTTGTGAAGAACTGTTTTGAAACTCATAGTTATACTCAACGATTTATGAAATAATTTTGTTTTCCAGCGTTTGCGCTGTTACATTGTGAATGAGCTTTTGATGGAGCTTTTAGGAGCTTTCAGTTGAATTTTTGAAAATTGTTACACAATTTAATTTTTGTGACATTTTATGTTGGTTTTTTAATTAAGGAATTATGTTCGCATTTATTACACCAACGCTTTGTCCGTTAACGTGTTTTAAGTCGAAATTATGCATAAACGTCGCGGAATGTTTGAAATGTAATTAAAATTTAAATGTTTTTCTGAAAACGAAAAATTGTCTCATCGTTTATGAAAATGAATATTAACAAGAAGATGTTACAAATAAATTGAATTTAATTAATTTCCACAGACATAGACAATCTGTAAAAATTCAAATAACTTAAAGTCTTCGTCGCCAGACATAAAAATTTGTTTCATAAAGAAAGTCTTTATGGTTTCATTCAAATAATCTTTTCAAGGATCTTCTGCAAACAAAAGGTTTTATGCAAAGAAATCCTTTTGTTTCTTCTTATTCTTCCATATGAACATAAAGCAAAAGATTATTCATAGAAAGTTGCATTCATCCCAACTATTTATTTGTGTTATAGTCAGAACTGTCATAAATTAGCATACAAGATTTCTGAATGTGGAATGCACAAAAGCTTTTTGCTTTGAAAAACTGTTCGTCATAAGAGTTAAATTTTGATTTATGAGAATTTTCCCATCATTTGCATTTCTTTGTTCCATGTAATTTGCAAACTTAGAAGAAAACTTTTTTTGGATTAGAATTCATCTTAATTTTTATAAGAAAGGAAAATAAATTTAATAACATAAATCAACATACATAAATTTATCAATGAATTATGTTCCAATGACCTTGAAATTTGTTACACATTTACTTTTCCCATCATTTCCACGTGATAAGATCATGACGTCACATTTAACGTAAAATTTGTATCTGCGCAGACAATACGAAACAGTTTGGGATTCTCTGCATCGTCATCTTCAGTCTCATTGTAGACGTTGTGGTAATCAAACGTAAAAATAAAATCGTGCCGGTTTAATGTTCTGAGAATTTGAATTCAATCATATAAAAGTTGAAGAGATTTATTAATTTGAAAGCAAAGAAATCTTTTTATGAAAATTAACGAGCAAATTAAAAAATATAATAAACAACTTTCAATTGAATTGAAATAAAAAAAATATCCAATCAAAACTATTTAAAAAATCTGTAAAGTGCGCAATAAATTCGTTAAGAGTTCTTTTCCTTCAGCCGACTCATTGTCATGTGAAATTCGATTAAATCATTTATAACGGTCAGTGCACTAACGAGCTTTCATCGTGTCCCTTTTGGCAGCGACGTTAAAGTGATAACGAACAAAGATGGTGCAATCAAATTAAAGGGTTCATATACACAGAATAGAGTTGTCATCATAGAAAGAGTGAAATAAGAGTGAAAAATGTGTGTATTAGGTCGAGGAAATTTACTGTTAGGCTCATAAGCCATGAAAAACGACTTGGTTGATATCTTCAGGCAGATATTCAGGCCCCAGGATGATGATGTAAAAGCAAAGCGAAGAAAATAAATGGAAATATGATAAAATTACGTTGCTGTGTAGCCAAGAAGAAGAAAGAAAGAATACCCTCGGAGTTTCGTATCTGTTAAGAGCTTTTGAATACAATTTAAAATGCTGATGGATTATCTCGAAACTTTTCCTTGCATTATGTATGAGTGTGCGAACGTAAATTCTCGACGTTTCTGATAACCATTTCCGGTTGCAGCTGCTCTTAAAAGATATCGTGAAAGAATGCTTGCAGTTGAAAACAAAGTGTAAAGTCATGTAGGATGCTCATTTGGCAAGTGTCGGTAGTGGAGTTCATTTAACTTATTTCAAATGGCAGATAAGCTATAGAAAATAAAATAAGCATGCCATATGAATGAAGAATGAAATATATAATTGCGAGAAAGAAATGTAAAGGAAGTGAATAAATAAATATTTGAGTTTTCGTTGTGCTTAAATGAAAAACTCTTGAATAACTCTGAGTGTGTTCGATAAGTGCACAGAACGAGCGAATCACAGTTGAATGCATGTTGGATAGCATAATGCGGATTATATGGGGATTTATAAAACTCTATTTGTACAACTTATTTTTATTCATGAATATAAACGGTGAGTGAATATGTTTTTGACAAGCCGCTGTTACGCTTTTCTGATATTAAAGAAACAAGAAAAAATTGAGTTAGGCACTTATTTTTCAAAAAAGCGTCAATTATTTTGCATTTTCATCGTTTGTATTTATAATTTATAATATTTTATGTTTTTTCAGTTTGAGTGCTCCATAAAAGCTTTCCATTTTTCTTACTACTTTGCCTGCTTTATTTTTATTACTTCGTTTTTGTTATTGCGAGTACGAATGTTGTTGATGTAAGAAGTTTTTTTATTTATTTATGTAAGAGTTTCAGGAAAGATTAATATCACATCTTCTTCATATCTAGCCCAGACGTGTTTTAAGGGTTGTTTTATTTTCTTTATAAAGATGGAAACCAAACCAACTTAATTTATGTTGGAAAACATTAAACTTGAATTGTGTAAAAGAAAGTTAACTTTTAAGATTTTTAATGTAAGAATCTACATTAATGTCTATGAAAATAATTGGATTAAAAAAAGTTTTCTAAGAAGAAAGAAGCTTTTTAACTTGCTCGGAATTTTAAGTAGATATGTGTGATATTTTATGCAAAAATTTTGACATCAATCATTCTTTTTAAGATAAATTTTATGTACTTCAGTATCCTCCCTACACACTTTAACAACTCATCTTTCAAACCTTTTGATATGTCAGATTATGTTGATGAAGCTGACGACAACTTAAACTCCTATTTCATCATACTTTGCTTCCTAATATTTTCCTTTCGATGAATGAAGTTAATCGCATAAATTCGGACTTTTCAAAAGTGGATTACATTTTTCATTTTTTTCTGTTTGTTTCCCTGTTTTGAGGAATCAAGTCATTCATCTCTTCCTACGGTCATTGTTTTGATAGACTAGGAATATCCGAACGTTTCCTGCCGTCTTTGAATATTTTCTTACGCCTCAAAACCTTTTTTTCCTTTCATCCTCATCCTTCGACGTCCCAATTTTTTATATCATTATAAAATCATTAATCATTCGAAAAGCGTTTAATTTTGTGACCGAACCGAAATGCTTTTATACGAAGTAAAAATGTTTGTACACCGAGAAAGCTCAAAAATTACGTAAGACGAAGATATGAATGAAGAATTTTGTGAAAAGTCAGCATATTTTAATCAGGAGGGTAAAAACGCGAAATTAAAAAACTTTACAAAAGTTTCATCATGATCTTAATTAAACTTCTAAAGTTTTTGCTCAAAGATTAAATAATTTCATTATTTATGTGTTTCTTTCTATCAAAAGTTAATTAACAGCAAGTGTTATAATTATTTATTATTTTAAAAAGCGAGTGAGCAATCTATAAAAAGTTGTCAGTTCCAATCAATTAACTGAAAACGAATTTCCAAGGATTATTAATAAAATATATTTCAAGTTTAAATATAATGGCTTATGGTTTCAGAACAGTATGAAATTAAAAGCTTAAAAGTTTAATAACAACAGTCAAACTTTAACTTTAGTTATTTAAATCTGTTCACAGAAGCACTAAAGTTTCTTAATCTCTGAAATAATTCCCAGCAAATATATTTTAAATTCACCTTTGCAACTTCTGTAAATGTTCATCGCTGTTTTGAAAATCTCATTAATCTTTCACACAAACATACTGAAATAGCCGTGTAAGCGCAAACCGTACGAACCTCCCATTAAATAAATTAAATCGCATTGAATCAAATAAAGTGAATTGAGAGATAAAATTTATTTTTAACAGCCATTAACCTTTTGAAATAATTTGATTAAATCTTGAGAATTTTAATATAATTTCATACTTTTCATAAGTGCAAAAGCCTCCCCCTCTATGAAATGTTGAATCAGTCTGAGGAATTCTTTTATCCCATTCCCGAAATTGTGGAAATGTGTCGGCATTTTTCCGACATATTGTCATGTGTTACAATACGCCTTTGATTCGATATGTAAAAAGTTTGCGTAAAAGCTTTATTGTCAACATAAAACATTTAAAAGTTTTATCTCAGCTCATGGCGAAAAATTTGGTTATAAGCTCGATCGTAAAATGAATTTCTTTTATCGATACAAATTTCGCAAATGCTAAACGTTGATTTTAAGCTTCAAACTTTCATATACAAAAACTTTTATATACCTTAACAGTCGAATAATCAATACTCTTCAACTTTTTTTTGTTGTTATCAAAAATAAAGTTGTTTCTGTTGAACGTTTGCTATCTAATGCCCAGCATCATTATATCGAAAGCTCATTAACGTTCAAGTTAGTCTAGGATAATGAATATATTATTGTTTCTCATTCTCGGTTACCTCGAACTCAAAACTTTATCCCCTAGGAACAGTATCAAAATTTAATATGAGAGCACATAAATACATTCATTAACACATTAGGGCTCGAAGTGTTTAGGGGAGAAAGTGTTAACTTTGAGTAATAAAATGATTTTTATTTCACCAGAAAGTTCTTTGGGTTCTTTACCCTTTCACATTAGGGACCTGATGTGACCTTATTAAATGGAATCGCATGAATAAAGATTTTTTTTCTTCAAGTATTGGAAACAAAAGGTTAACAACATTATTTCGGATGAATAGTTTCCATGCGATGAAAGTTTCAATTGTTGAATTTATTTCACAAGAAAATGTTTTAATTCCAGAATCTCGACCTATGGTACAACTTTACATCTTGTCGACTTTTTCTGTTTTCACAGAACTTGAAAGTTCGATATAAATCAAGTGAAACTTTCCCACAAAACTCTTGGGATTTGTCCCAAAAATTTATCGCGAATAATGGTTTCGAAGGATTAGAACTTTTGAAAACTTATATTTTATCTGATTAAAAGTTTTTGAATTAAGTGATGGGATGGCTGTAACCACTTTTACACAGCTTAATTAAAATTTATAGCGATGAAAAAGGGAAAAATATCTCTCAAGGTGTAATTGTTTAGTTTAAAAAATTATTGAACAATTTGAAAGCTTTAAGATTTTAAAAACTCCCTAATGGAGCTTCTTGGAAAATTGAATTACTAAGCGCATTTATTTGAGATATTTCTGATCCTTCGCAACATGAAAAGAAGCTTTAAATATTAAAATTAATCTTTCACTGAAAAATAAATTTATTGAAATTCTCTAGACATTTGTTTCAGTCTGCATAAAAGATGGAAAAGCTTTTGGAAATGAAATGAAATTATCATTTTATTAAAACCTTTTTATTTTTTAATACTTACTGAAAACTCGAATGGTTAAAAATTAATTTCAATTTAAAAGAAAGAATTACGACCTAAAGCTTTTAATCCATTAGTAATTGAATTTAAATATTTCTTCAGCCACCGATCTAATAAACGGAGACGAGCATCCAGAATGGGAAACTCAATACGGTCTGCCGTTCTTTGACAATACAACAAGACGTGATGTCACGGCAACGGTTGGACAATCAGCAAAACTTCACTGTAGGGTGCGAAATTTAGGTGATAGAGCGGTAAGAGTTTCTTTTTTCTCATATTAAGAAAATGTAGGTCTAAATTAAGCGAAAATTAATGTTGCTGCCTGAGAGTTAACTAATTGAATTACAATGATTTATCGAAATCCATTCTCGCATCGTCCGGCTCAGGTGTCTTGGATTCGCAAACGTGACTTGCATATACTTACAGTAGGCATTTTGACCTACACGAACGACCAACGTTATCAATCATTACATGCAGATGGATCGGACGAGTGGACGTTAAGAATAACATCACCACAACCGAGGGATTCGGGAATTTACGAATGTCAAGTGTCAACAGAACCAAAAATTAGTTTAGCATTTCGACTAAGTGTAATTGGTAGGTAGAACGATTTCTTCTTCCTTTTCTACCCTTAATCTCTTCCATAAATGATTAATTAAATTTACTTTAATGTTATTTACTATATAATCTGGTGAAACGATACAATGCTATGTCATTCCGGCACTCTCAGTAAATACTACTTGAAATGAAAAGAAAAGCCATTAATAACATTATGTAAATGACCAGGAAAGGTTTTTAACATAAAAAAAATGTGTTAACAGGAAATTAAAAATACTGAAAGTTTCCTTGCGAAACTTTTCTTGTGTAGATATTTCAAACTTTTCTCAATTGTCGTTTAAGTATTGTAGAAAGCAGAAAATATAAAAAAGTTCTAAGGAACTAATTATAGTTTAAAAAACACTCACTGACTATGCCTTTTTATGCAGAGTGAAAAGCAATTTTTTTCGCATAGTTAGTCGATTTAATAAGCTGATAGGATTTAAATTGCGTCATTAGTTTAATGCAGGGGTTAGAAAGGAAGTTTATTGCTCTTCTGGAAGTTGAACTTCGAAACTGAAATTCAAGGGACGGAAACAGGATCCGAAAGATAAGAAAGAAAAGACTTTCCGTCCCTGCTTTATTAATTAAACTGCAAATGCTAAACAATTTCATATTCCGCGAAATATTTCTTTTGAACTTTTATTTATAAATCTAGGACGACACCCCGGGTATCTCCTAATTGATTTTTTTTCTAATATCGTGTTGCTATTTCATCATAGCATTTTAAGGATTTTTTTTTAGATATTCATTCATTTCTTCTCTCCAGTAAAAATCACAAATTTCAAAGCACAAATTGAAAGAAGTTCGAGAACGTTTTTGCCATCGTCTCAACCACAAAGAAGCTTTGAAAATTGTGTAAATAAATAACCTGATTTTAATTGCCATTACAGGTTGAAAATTTCCAGCTTGAACATTTTTTCTCTCAATTTATTTCAAGAGTGTGAAACTTTGAAAATTTTTGAGGTGGTGGACTTTGTAGGGAAATTAATTAAGCTAGAATGAAGTAAACTTTTATGAAACCTTCTTCTCTTTCATGCTACAAGCGTGGTTAGATTTGTTTTCATAGAAAGTATTTAGAAACACATTTTAAAGCAACAAAGTTTTTAATCACGTTTCTCTATGTTTACACTTTAAAACGAAATCGAATCTAACAACTGCCTGCTATAAAAATGATTTCTTACTTCATATTCCTTGAAATTTTTTTCGATATTTTCTTTCGTCCCAAAAATATTTAAAAGATTTATTATACATTTTAGAAGACATTTGAAGTTATAAACTTAACATAAAAAGGTTCTGTTTAGTTTACATTGGAAATTCAATCGAATCTAAAGTTATTATTTATGGAACATAAAATATGTAATTCAAATTTCAATACATTTTAGGTTTTCCCACAGTTAGTGGTTTCCTAAGAAACGTCATAAACTACCGCAAAATAAATTATCTGTCTGAAAAGTTTCTTAAGTAGACTGTTTAGCTCTTCTTTGATGCTCTTTGCTTATAAAGCATGAAATTCGATTAAAAGCTTTGATAGATAATCCGAAAGATTTATTAAGTTACGTCAGTGGTCTACTAAGTATCGTAAAATTTCAGCATCTATTACCGTGACAGAGCGCTGTAAAATTTGCTTTTCAGCTTTCGAAGTATTTTTTTTTGTGTGATGGCACCCATAATGGGTTTGTTTACTTCTTTGCAACTTTTGCCATAAGAAAGAAAAGAGAAATAAAAATAAAAAGAACACAAGGAAAGGGATGAAAATTTATTGATATATTAAGTTGTTTTGAAACTTTTACTCGAGCTTTTCTCTCAGAAAATAATTCACTTGACTTGACTTTATTTTCTTTTATTTTTCCATCACTTTAGTGTCCCGTGCCGAGATATTAGGAAATAGTGAAGTTTTCATTAAAAGTGGCAATGACATAAACTTAACATGTGTTGCATATGAAGCTCCATCGCCACCACTGTACATTTACTGGTATAAGTCGGGCAGTGTCATCAACTATTCACAGCGTGGGGGCATCAGCGTTTTAACCGAGAGACAAACCAAAACTAGCAAGCTTGTTATAGCACGTGCAATGTCAAGTGACTCTGGGAATTATACATGTACACCAAGCAACTCAGGTGTGAATAGAAAGCTTTAAATTTGTCAGAGCTACAACTCTAAATTACCAGAGTGAATGAAAATTAAACATCCCACTTGAATTAATAGAATTCTTTTTCACACTTCTGCTGTTTTGATTACAGTGAAAAGAAGAAAGCATTATGAAAGTTGGTCTTTCAATTGAAATAATGGTTGAAGTTTGCAATGATGTTGTGAAAAAAATTCTTTCATGGCATTTTCATTACAATGAAATGCACTTCAAAAAATCTTCATTAATAAAATATGAATTCATGATGGTTTTCAAACTTTTAATTCTCTTTATTTCTCTTCTTAAAAAATATTGAATAGATCCAGCAAGTGTTATGGTGCATGTTATAAATGGTGAACATCCAGCTGCGATGCAACATGGAAATAGCAGCAGCAACAGCATCCACTCTTACCGTAACAGAAACAACAATTTTTTAACTTTTCATCTATCGAAATGGCTCTTATCATCGCCAACAAAAATGCTATCATCAATTCCCACGCTGCTTTTTGTGACGATATCAAGTGCCATGTGCATTAATTTCTCCATGAGATGATTTATAGATGGGATTCTGTTTGGTGTCGGGAACGATGTAAAAACAAGCGTTTGAAAATGTTGAATGAACAATCAGAGGGAAAGAAAAATATGAATTCAAATTTCATGTCATGTGTATTCATAAAAATGAAAAATTTAAGCATAAAAACATCTCGAATCTCGTTACATGTTTTTAGTACAAGAGGAAAGAAAAAAGAAACTTTTAACAATGTAAGCTTAAAAACTCCTTTTGGAAAATTTAATTTAAACTACGCTGTAACATCAGCGAGTTAGCACAACTTTTAAGGTTCGGGAAATATGTTAATTTTATCAGTAGAATGTTGAGGGCCTTCATACCTTCTATAGCATCTCTTACTACAACATCAATTCATGATAATGAATTTAATTTTTAACATTGTACATAAGTTTCAAATCCCTGGAAACATCCCCCCACTTCATCTATTAAGATGACAAATTGTTAAGGAAATAAAATAAATTCTTGAAAAAATGTCATTTGAATTGATACTTAAACATTTTTGTTGGATGATTATGTAAACAAGAGAAAGAAAATTAATGCAAATAAAAATTAATGAACATTAAAGTGTTTGAGAAGAACAAAATTTTTTATCCCTTTTAATAAAGGAGGGGATAAAGTAATTAAAAACTGTTTTAGTATCCTTGAAACCATTTCCTCGCGTAGTTAATCTGACCAAGAGACAGAACCTTGACTCGATTCCAAATTCAAACTGCTGACTTCAATTTCTTGACACAAATCGAATTGTTGTCAAAAAGAAGAAATTAAACAGACGAACGCTTATGAAAATTATTTAATTTCTTTAATGCTTATGTTTTCCAATTTGTTAATGTTCTATTATTATTTTTCCTTCCATTTTCTATCTTCCATTTATTAAATTACTCTCTCATAGAAAAAAAAAGATTTGTAAACATTCATAAACATCTTTGATTTTAAAATGGAACGTAAAACTAAACACTTCTCAAGGGAAGTACCTAATTTGATTATGTAAAATTTTCATTATTGAAATGGAAACTTTATGAAACAGGTTGATGATTAAATTAATGGAAACTTTGTTTATCCATGTCATCAAGTTTTAAGAACAAAAATATTGTAAAAGCTTTCGTTTTTGTTGTCCCGACAGTTTACATTCTCGTTACACTTTTTAATTGCTGATTTAATAAATTAAATCTTCGTGATTCTCGTAGAAAAATTTTCTTCATATCTATCAGATGAAACTTAATGAAAATGTAATATTGTCTCTTCATTCTAAAATGAGAAAGGTTTTCTTTCGATAAAGGTAAGTTGAGTAAAACTGTCAAAATATATTTCCTGTTTAAATGGCCTAAAATAATGAACCATGATTAATCACGACTTTATTATTCAACGCCTATCTACACATCCCCTTTCACTCTCTTAAAAACATCAAGTAATATTGACATTGTTCTTTTGGGAGACGGAGAAATATTTTACAAGATGTAGGGCGTAAGAACCACCCACTGCTTTAAATACTAGAAATTATTTTCATGGCACTTATGCCGTCGTTGATAAAGAATTGTTTTTTTTTTTCACATTATTTTACTTGTATCATCTCTCCCACTCTATGAGAACACATCCACAATACACTTTTGACACATGTAATAATGAAAGCTATTTCAACGTTACTAGGAAAATTACAGCAAGTTTGATACACAGCATAACACTTTTGTTATAACATAAAATAAGCTTTTTTAGTGAATTGCTCGTTCATTCGTTCGTTCGTACAAGTTGTAATAATACATACCCGAAAATTTAATGCATCAAGCGTATCATGGATGAAAATTATGGCACACAAAAGCCCCTTTGTGAGATGCTATGCCGCATGTTGTTTATTAAGGAATTACTCCCGTCACTATGCCTGCTGAGTTTGGGAGGGAAATACAAAGCTTTCGTGATACGTACAAGGTGACATTTATCAAACTGACACTTTGTATGATGAAACATGAAGATGCTGGGACAATCAAAAAATTGTTTAGGGATTTACGTTGATTCTTCTTCATTCATCGTGCTTGTTAATTAAATATTTCTTGTCAATCGTTTCACTGTCCTTAGGCCAACATAAACAATAATGTGATTCAGTGACTCTTGACTTCCTTGTATCGATCTAGATGAGAGTATGGCTAATAATCATAAATACGAGTAAGAGTGTTTACCAACAGCTATTAATCATCATCTTAGGAAGGATTTTATTTACGAAAGCCAATTCAAAGGCTCGCATCATTACGTGATGGATCAAAGCTTATTTATTGGATGCTAATATGAAGACAGAAGGTCTCAATTTGATAAATTAGATATTTTCTCGTGAATTAATATAGTAATGAACTTTTTCGATAAATTCAACTCATGAGAGTGAAATAATAAAATAAAATTGAATCTGTTACTGTTCAAGAACAAGAAAAGGAGAATTTAAAGATTTATATTGGGAAAGTTTCTGAAATAGTTTCAAAGCTTTAAATTTGGAAGAGCATTGTACTGCATTTGACACAACATAGAACACATAATGAAAAGCATTCTCATAGCAATTTCGATATCAGCTTCCGAAACGACTGAAGTTCCAATTATATTTTTCCTTTCAATGGATTGAGGATAAGAAAAATTCTTTTGTTTGCATTTTCATTGAGAAGTTTGCAAAAAAAATTCTAATTTGTTCCAAAATGAACTTTGTACAGTGTTTAAACAAGTTTTGAAACAAACAAAGATGCTGAAGATGAACGTAAGCTTGAAAAGTCTTAGAAAATTTCTGTTTGATCTTTATAAGACTATTGACTCACAAATCCTTTGAACGTTTCAGCTTTTCGAGGGTCAACATAAAAGATATTTTGTAGAACGAGATATAGAAATAAGTGAACAAAGTTTTAATGTGCTATTAAGCTATTGAGTGTAAAAAATTACCTAAGTGAACAAAGTTTTAATGTGCTATTAAGCTATTGACGTGGCTCGAATTCTATCGAATTTTCTGCTCGTGCAAACGTCAAATGTCTTTAGATAAGAAGAAGACAATCAAATTAGGAAAAGATGGACGAGAAGAAGGCTGAAACTTTTCCACAGACAAAACGAATATTGATATTTTATAACATCTTCACCATTTACGAAGAAAGATGAAATGAATAAATTTTGGGAAACAAAGCAAAGGAAGAACAAAAACAAGAGGCAAAGTGAAAAAGAAAACTATTCAGCTGATGGCTTGCATAATACTGTATCAATAATAATGAACTGCTGCCATTTTCATTCCATCTAATCCCAAATTGAGTTATAATCCATAATTGGAAGGAATTGAATTCCATTATGATAATCCAGTGCTGTATGTTAAAAAATAAAAACAACATTACTAAGATCTGATTGCAGAAACAAGAGAATATCTGCTTATGTAATAGAAAAAAAAATATTAATGATTGCACAACATGTTGTCCAAATCGTCTCAACTTTAAGGTTCATGAATCTTGTTCTATTGACGCCCACATAAGCATAAACTAAGACTTGTAGTCTTCTTCGGGGCCTCATAAATATTTCTATGCTCAATTTAATATTTCATAAAAAGTCTTAGATCTGAGTTGGAAATATTTCCTCACATTCTCCACATGCCACGACAAGATTTCATCATGGTTTCGACGACACAAAAAGCCAGAAAAAGAAAAGAATTGAAAGAAAGGCGAAGGATAGAAAAAAAATTAAGGAAAAAAGTGTGCTCAATGTGTTTTAAATTATCTTCGACACAAAAGGAAAATTTATTGACATGTAGCATGTTTGTGGGTAACGAGCGATTGAATATTTCCAAATTTAATAAAAAGTTTCATGTCTAGGATTCCAACTTAAGTTTTCCTGCTCGTGTCGTAAATCAAACCAAACACGTGTTGAAAGTTTTTTTTTTTTGTTCTTTTGTTTGTATACTCAACTTAAAACATATATTGAAAGTAAAAAGTTGTATAGATGTGGGGAAGTCACGGCGAACTATTGAGAACTGGTTTGAAAGGATAAGTAGTCAAAGGATTGAAAAAGTTTTGTAATTTTTCATGGAAAAAATCAAAATCCCTTGGTGAATCCTAAAATTTACGGGCTGTCACATTTGTAAACGATTGAGGTCAATTTGTTGCTGTCGCATTTTCCATTTTCACACCTTTTTCAATGTCAAGCGCCTTAACTCCTATCACCATGAGCTATTGATGGTTTTTTCTTCTCTTGTTGACAGACGATTTAATTCAGTGAGAATATTTAACAACAAAGCATTGTCGTTTATTAGAAGCCGATTTACCAACGACAATAAATTGTCAATTCGTGGAAGCTTAATGGCAGTTTAAGGTCATGCTTCATTACAATAATTGTAATAAGTTCAATTCAATTCAGCAAACAATTCAAATCATTTTTCTGAGATTCCACAAAATGATAACTTGAAGCTGAACAGATTTATTGACGTACTTATTTCTGGATGTCGTAAGGAGTACATTAGTATGCAGTATATTAACTTCAACATAATTTAAATCTTTTTCATTTCGCTACCGAATAACTCTTCATATTTTGAAAAGCAAACAGCTCCATTGGCTCCACAAACCTTAAATGGTAAACATGAAATAACAATAAATAAATTCCTTTCAAATACTCCAAAGCGAGCCAGATAATATTTTATGCAAATATCTATGCTTACAATATTTTTCAAGCGGTTTTGTTATTTATTGTTCTTCCCCAGCATCGTTTTCTTCTTTTCTATTCATTTCAAGTGTACGATATATGGATGAATGAGAAAGAAAAACATTTCTACTCTTACAAATTATCATAGCGCATATCAATGCTTTTCAATGAATTCCGATTCGTTGAACAAATGTTTAGTGATGCTTTTATTTAAATGTTAACAATTTGTAACATAACATGAAACAAGAGTTCAAAGCTACAATAAGATATCAAAAACACCTTCAATGAAAGTCAAATATGTTCATTGATTGAACATTTCAACAACAATAATTGAATCAAAGCGAAGTCAATAAACGCTTTGATTGATTCAAAATAACGAGTAAATGTTACATCAAAAAACATTTCACAATTTTATTTGATTTCGCTAAAAAAATATACGATCGGTGTTTATATTTAACTTTCATCATTTCTCCTTTGACGAATTATAATCGCATCATAATGAAAAGACTGAGCACGGAAGCGTCTATTGTGCTTCCTGTTACCTTGCTTATTAAGAAAAGACTGAGCGAATATTTACTCACATTTTGAGTTTTTGGTTCTAGGCAGGAAAAATTAATAAAGTTAAATTTATAATACCCATATGCGAGCTCAAGTGAAATGATTTTAGATCCCCCTTTTGTTTCACTCTTTCAACATCAACATCAAAAAAAAGAAGAAAGAAAGGGGGAGAAATTTTTTATATAATGAATACAAATGAAGATTCTGTTCGCTTTCTCATTCACATGCTTTCATTCAGTTCAGATGACAAAGGAAATTCCAAAAATGATTGAAATTTTCTTCGTCTTATTTTACTTGAAAAAGAAGTTTTAATTTAGGATTGAGACAGCGATAAGGATATGAGTTCAAGATGATTATATTTTTGTTAAAGAAGAAAATGAACTCAAATTTCCTTTGCGTTGCTTTCTTATTCCCTCTTGTGAGACTGAAGCCGCAATAGGTTCATTTCATTCAAGCTTCTATTAAAATATTTTAAATTCTGATAACTTAGATGTATGTGGGTAGAGTCAGCAAGAAAAGTTTTCAGCTTTTATTAATTACTCAACCACAATGTTGATTTGGTGTTCGAGAGACTTACATTAAAGCCATATTGAGATCATTTATATTTCAATCTCTTAAGCCTCAATTTTTTGGGTTTCCATGATAGATGTGCTTGCGGGTAGGATTCATGTTATAAATTGTAAAACAAATTAAAGTCTAGCTAGTCTCTTCTTAATTAATTTGTTTTGGTTCTTAAAGATGAATTTATCTTTCAGAATTTAAGAAATGAAAAACATTTGTTCCAATTCTATCGCATAAATAGCCTTCAAGCACTGTCACTTTATTCAATTTCCATGTCCCTCGCCTTCGTTTAATTTATGGACCAATTTTTATTGAGATTGTGTTTTTTATCTTGGTCATCACATTCGATCAAAGGCGCTGAAGCAAGATTGCTTCATAAATAAAACTGTTTGCTATAAAAGAAACAAGTTAGCTAAAAAAATAAAAAATTGTATAACAAAATGTACTGTGTCATCTGTTTCGTGCCTCACGTTGGTGTTTTATGGGTACAGAAGGTAATAAAGGGGAGAGGTGTAATTTTTTCTCATCCTGTCAGTTTCCCTTTTTTCTTCCGAAAAAGAAAAAGGAACGAGTTTTGTCAAAAAAGTTAGAGTTTTACATTTCGCATCAACGCAAGGATCATATGTTACTTTACCTCATGCTTAGTTACTTATTCTCGTTCAAGAAGTTGATGTTGTAATTTTTAACTTGAGAAATTATCTTGTTGATATTAAAAATAGAACCTGAGAAGTTTGTCGAATATGGAACGATGTTGAAAGTTTTACGCAATGTTGAGAATATTTTGAACGTTCAACTAATTTTTTTTGGACTAAGATGTAAATATTCTGACAAACCAGCACTACGTAAAGTTAAGAGAGAGGAAAAAATTAATTAAATGAAGCCAGAACAACAAGTTTTCCTACTCATATTAAAAGTTTTGGTGTTTCTACTAGAAACATAAGTTTTAGGAAGAGTTTGAGCTTTTATTTAATAATATATAAAGTTATTCTTCCTCTTTGCATTTCTGCTTTGATACACGATTTCCTTTCATTCAACGAGAATAATTTAACAGCAATAAAGGTTGCTTCGCAATATCATGAACATTTAAAAACATAGTCAAATATTTTATTTTATCTCTTTTTAAGTTAAAAGCACTAAAACAAAAGATAAAACCAGTAATCTCATTTACATTTTACAGCATTTCGTTAAATGCCTTTTGTCATGTGACACTGTTTACCACTCTAAATATTGAATTAAACTTTTGCCCTTTAAATATACTGTCAAATGTTAAAACTAAAGAAAAAATCTTACCAAAGTAATAAAATTTAAATTTCCCACTATCTTCATTGAATTTCATAAAAGTAAACTTCTAAAACCTTCTACGAATTTACCTAGTTTCAATTAAATAAATTAAAATAATCTCAAAAGCCCTCCGAGCTGCGAATTCTCGGAAATCTAATTGTTTAATTAAGAAAGTACAATTAAGTTAAACCAGTAAGAAAGAAGAGAGAAAGTTTCTGAAATTAATTAAAAGAAAGTTAAAAATTATCTGAGAAAAAGCATTGAGCTGAAAGTAATTAAGTTTAGTAAGTGGTGCAAGAACAATAAAATATACTCTTATAGTGTTCTAAATTAATCGAAAAAAGCTTGTAACTTGAACCTTAAAACACTTTAATGAATAAAAGAAAAGAATTTCTTGCTGATCTTATCGTAAGCGATAAGTTTAGATAAAACTTAAGAGTCATGAAAAAGCATCTTGACCAAAACTGCATCAACACGAAACACAATCTTATCGCTTTTGACAAGCTTAACTCAATATTTCACTGATGTTTATCTTTAGATCTTAAAGGCATAAGTTAATGAATGAATGCTGTGAAAAGGGTTTGTTTCAAGTTAATTTTGATGAATTTTGTAAACGATACTGAAACCTTGCCAAATCCCTTACTTAATCCTAGAATTTTATCATCAGGTACAGCCACAAGATGAAAGCAGCAAACAAATCCAAGGCAAATATTTTTTCCTTCTACATTTCTGTTTGTAAATGAAAACTTTCTTAAATAATTCAAATTCAATTAGTATTAAAGGTAATCAATTTGAATGTTTTTGAAAAATTATAATCGAATATTTAAGTTTCTTTCATGTCAAGTGCAATTTATAACCAATATTCAACGTTACATTTTATTTATTGAAGTCTAACTAGTTAGACATCTGTCAACTTCCTACTTTCTATTACATTATAATTCTGATTTATTTTCCCATTGAAAGACATTCAAAACTCATTCACAATTTGTAGTAATAACCTGAAGTAATAAATTAATTTCCAGGTGATAACGACGAAACACTTCTTGCCACCTGAAATCGTAATTTGTCATGCAAAGCCAGGAAAATAATAAAATAAAAGTAAACCCCAAGACATTACATAATTGAATGAAATCTCAAAGGTTCGAAATGGACTATTAATGAATCGTTGCGTCCGTCGTGATAAGAAATTCGCTTTGGTTGTGAACGAAGCAACTTCTTCTCATTCATTTCCATTAGTCAATGCTTTTGATCTTACATAGGAAATAAAATAACAACGAGATTGACGCTTTATAGCCTATAAAAAAATGCTATTACCATTACGTGTATTTTATTACACTAATTTTAGGTCGGATATTCCTTCCCGTGACGCTTTGTATTTCTTGTCCTTTAAAAGCTTTTCTCGAAAGTCTCATTTCAATCTTTAGCTAAATTATTCATGTCTAGAACCATCGAATGGACGAAACATTCTTTATATTCTTCTTTTTTAAGAATAAAACTTTTATAACTTGCTATAAGATTGTTAAGAAGGAGTTTTCGTTCCTTTTCCTGCTTTCTTTTTTTCCTTTCATTTATGTAAATTCTTTTTCAGCGCCTTTTTGTTTATTTCTTTTTTGACGATGGGAAGTTTGGATTTGATTGTTGTTTATCATAAAAATGTATTTGTGTCTTTGAGCGATGTTTCTTTTCTATGATAAAAAGTTTCAATCTTGAAAAGAATTTAGGGAAAGAATTTGAGAAATTTCTTTTCTTTCGCATATAACTTTTCGGAATTTTCCACGTTCTTATTAGCTTTATTTAAAAACTGTTGCTAGGATGTGTGAAAATTGATTTTCAAATTTTTTTCTTCATCTTTATTGGATTAATTGAAAATTTTTCAAGTTCATTTCCAAGGAGTTTATTTAATATTTTCTGTTAAGAAGCACAAACCATTAATCAACATCCCTATTCAGATGCAATGAGCGATTTTCTTTGATGTTTTTCCTATCTTATTTGAAAGTATTTCATGTGCCAACCTACATCGTAATAACAAAATTTGAAGGCGGATGATAAGGTCAAATAAATTATGTTGTTACATCTTCAAATTTTCTTTCCGAACTTCAATGGTATTAATTTGATAAACAAAACGTTCGCCGTTCGTTCAAAGCGACTTCAGAAATTTTAGAGGGAAAGAATAACAAAATGTTATACGCTCACTCTGACATATCTTCCATGCTTAAGTTACATGTATTAAATGTCTTCTTTGTTCCATAATAAAAAGAGAAAAACTTTTTCTTCTGAGTTTCCATGAACAAACAAATGAAATATTTTCTTTGAAATGTCAATCGCTCATTGTGAAGAAAGATTTTACTTGGAAATTTATGTACACATTTCAAATAAAAGAAGACATAAGGAAATGTTTAACTCACGGTTCGTTGCATCGTTCTCGTTCGCTAAGTGGAATTTATTTCCACGCTTTCAATGAAATAAAAATTTCATTCACTCCCTAAGTCGATCGAAAGACAAATAGACGACAAAGAGAAAAATTTCTTGTTAAAGAGTAAAGAATGAAGAAATTGTCATCATTTGCTCTCCATACATTAGAATTGATTTTGTATAAGTCGAACAATGATAACGAATATATCTCAATTTTGTTGTTAACTGACATCAGCGACGAATAGGAGATATGGCAATGTAATAAAAAGCTCATACATTTATTCTCTTCTTATCTTATAGCCATTACTTCTCCCAGGAATGGATTGAAGATGTTTGTTGCTTTCTCCTAAAGAAGCAAGAAAATGAGGAAAATTTATTGTCTTTTACTTTATGGTTTAATAAAAGATCAATATATTTAGAATTTATTACGTAAGAACTTTTATTACGAGGATAACGCAATTTGGAAGCGTTTATGAAGAAATTAGCGGAAATATTGAATAGAATAATAGAAAATTGATATTGATTAGCGAAGCAAAAGCATAACTTTGGCATTTCCTACCATAATAAACTTTCGAAAGAATTTCATTTTCAAAGTTTCAATCTTTTATTTGTACAAATTTAATATTATTGTGAATCAACTACAGTCAAACTTTCAATGTCTTTTCTCATTTCAGTCATAAGTTTATCAATTTGTCGATTAGCATCAATAACTTTCTTAATTTTCTCAGGTTGATGTTTTATTTCTTCTTTGAGAGATTGTCCTGGAAACATTTCCTTGATGACGTCAAATGCTTTATCCTTCAGTTTCTTAGAATCAATTTTATTACTAAATACTAAAATTTCATATGCATTTGAAGCGTTTGTTCTTGAATGAATTTGAGTTTCCGAAAAATCTTGCAGGTCTTTGAGTTCCAAATGTCGCGCTGCCATGTAAAGTCCAATTAAGTCAGGATGATTAACCGGAAGCTCATTCTTATACATGTAATCAATGATTGTTCTGAAGACAACTGTTGAAATGTCAATAAGATCCATTTCCTTAGCTTCAGGGTTGCTTTCAAACATCTTTGCGAACACTGGACTAAATGCAGCCAACACAAATCGATGAAGCTGAAAATTTTCTCCCTTCAAATTGATTGTAAAGTCTCTTAGAGAATGTAACTCTGACACTTTTTTAAAGTGACATGTTGACAAAATCTCACAAGATGCTTTTGGTTCCATCTTTTTTATATTCTTCGTAGGAGTCGAGCTTGACGACAATCTTCCAATCATTTCATTGAGCTCGTTGAGTGAGACACAAGCAGATGGAATTTGAATTTTTTTATCGAATCCTTCGTCAAAAATGGCATCAATGACAATATTTCCTCGGAAATTGGCAAAAATTAATCTTTTTAAAGGATGTAAAAGTTTCTTTCCGATCGTCGTCAGTTGATTTTCAGCAAAAGACAAAGCTCTTATATTTGATGTATACTCGAAAAGATCCTCTTGCAATTCACTTATTTCATTGCCTCCCAAATAAAGCAATTCAAGTTGTGGAAGTCCCTTCAAATCGTCCTTCGAAAGAGTCTTTAAAGAACAACCCTCAAGTGATATGTCTCGACAGTATACCAAGTATTTGTTGAAATTTCGAGGGAAATAATTTATTATTGAGCACTCAAAGCATACAAAAGGTTCCAATGTTCTCTTATATGTCGTTTCAAATTCCTCACTGGAATCTTTTGTTTGTTTTATAATCAATACCTCCTTAAATGTTGAAGTCAAACGTTCGCCAGCTGGAAACCACAAACGATTTTCTCTTGAGTATCTCATATTTTCAATTACTTTTACAATCACTTAAAACAGTTTTTTCAACATAAAAAGCATCAAATTTGAAGTAAATTTGAAAATTTATTGAGTCCACACGTAGAGAGATAATTAGACATTCATTCTCTGTCTCTTTCTTCAGTTTCCGATCCTTACAACAGCTGCCTTTGAATTTCAATAAGATTTTGTAATAACTTCAGACAGATTGGCAGTTTTTAACTCAATTTTAAATTAGGTTTATTAGAAAATGGAATTTGCTCTCTAAAAATATTCCGAAAAGATGCTTCAAGTCTCAAAACATTTCTCCACACATAACTTCATGTCCAAGAAAATTTAAAGAATTTTTTTTCATTTCAAACCTCGATTGTGTGAGTGTGTGGGTGGATGTGAGGGATTATTAAATTTTATATAACACATCATGTTGTTATTAGGTTATCTTTATCACTTCGGGTGGTATTCTTTCGTAGCAAAACAAGTTGTCAATCTTTAACTTGAAAAATATCTTGAAATGTGAATCTTCTTAAGCACTTCCTTGATTGTCGTCTTATAAGATTCCAATACTCTTATAGGAATCTTTCATATTTTTTCCTCTCTAAACAATTGAGGTTTTAATGTTCATAAATTTCCTAAATCTATAGAACTCAATCGAGAATAAAATAAACATACCCAAAGACTCATTAAAGCATATTTTCAATGATTTAACCATAAATCAAGTTTTAAATAATTCAAAAGTTTAATTACATAAATTATTGGGTATTATTTCTATTTCAAATAAATATTTAACAAATTTTTTTACTAGAAAATTTGTATAGCAGAAATGAGTTGATTTAATTAATTATTGTGTACAAAGAGATCCTTTTGGTTTTCTCATAAACATTTTTATGCTTAATTGCTTTCTAAACTTTTAACAAATAATTTGAATATTAATGTTGGATGTTACATTTGAATATCGTTTTGATTGAACTTATAAATAAGATCGCGACGTCATCTCTTCTGATTCTGCGCAAAAGTGTTTCATCTCAATTGTTTATGAATATTTATCATGTAGAGAAAGATAATTTAACAATGTTGTTGTAAGAAATGTTTAGAGTTGACGGATGGCTTTTGGGCCTTGCATAACTTGTAATCCCATTAAGCTTTGACGACTGTCATCGTCATGCAGATGAGTCTGCAAAACTTTTCTCAACGAGTTCAGTAATGATCCGGTTGGATCCGTTAGGATTAGTCCGATCGTCGAGCCGGCTCATTTGGGCGCGAGAGAGACGACGATATTAGTCGAGAGCGAGCCGTTGACGGATGCGGTCGCATCAAGTAACATTTGATATGAAGCATCTCTGAAAGCACTGAACATAGATAGCGATCTTAAAACTAGGTAGATTAAAAGAAAATTTATGTGTAATGATGATAACCCACGATGACAAAGTTAGCGAAACAATTTTCAAATTTATGTCGACATTTGTTTATTAAGCAAACATATTCCATTCAGATGAGAATTTTTGCTTGCTTTTCACAGAAAAAAGAGCATATGCGAAAAAAAAGCCTTATAACAAGAAACTTTATAATGAGAAAGCGTATTTTATATGTTTTTAATGTATTTGCTTATGTTTTACTTTTGTAATCTCATTTTGCAAAGCGTAAGTAAATTTAATCTTTCTTATAACAACTGCTGTGTGATTCATTTTAAGATGATGCTACTTTTGTTTGCTTAACAGGTTCATAAATGTTGTGTTTGATAATTTGTTTAACTTTATCATTAGGCTTGTACGATGATGTTTTAACAACATCTAAGATGGGAAAACAAACTTTGGTTTCATGTAGAATGTAGGAAATTACAATTAGCCTGATTCTTAAGAATGCTACTTAAATTGTAAATGTTAAGAACCGCTTAAAGACAAAGTCTAAAAGTATCTTTGTAAAATATCTCCATTCTGGGTCATCTTAAGGTATGAGAAAAGGGAAAGGAAGAATTTATTGCCCTAATAAAAAATCAATTTCTTATAGCCAAGGCCATGAATATATTATTCATACATCTTCAATATAAATGGAGAAGAAGAACAAGAAATTTATCCTAAATTGAGGTAGATAAGTTATATAAACAAAATATGATAAGGAAGAAAGAGAAAGGCGAGACATCACTTTATTTGATGAATACAAAAACACCCTCGAGGAGCCATTAAACACTTCATAAAACAAAATTAATTTATTTATGATTCAACGGTTTCTTCTACAAAATTTCTTTCGCTTTCGAAGATTTCCTCGCTAAGTGAGTGAGTGAGTGGAAATTAGTGTGTCAAAAAATAAAAAAAAGGAAAATAAACTTGTTCTTCTTAATTCTCCAAGCACGAAACTTTCCTTCTTCACAGTTGAAAATGCAAAGTTTAAACAAGGATTTTCTTAATTAATTTAATGCCTTTGTTTGCAAAACACATTTTCATTCCGAGCCGTTTCATGTCGTTTAGACGATGATAGAATGTTTGAAGTTTAAATTTAAGTAAATACAAAGTGTTGAGCTTTATTTTGTTTACTGAGCTTCTTCGAGTGACAAAAAAAGATTTTACGAAGAAAAAAAAATCCAATTCGCACTCAAACTAATTTTTTTTAAGATGTTTTGTCTGGGTTGCAGTTTATTTTTAGATGAGTTCACGTAGTTTAATGATCTCGAAAAAAAAGAAAATCTGATTCTTAAACGATGTCTTCATAATTTCTTGTTTATCGAATCGAGAAACATTTCGCCACAAGCTATCTGGAATATCTATAACTTTAAGTCAATGAAGCGATTGATATAACTTTCTGGCAAACATCGTTTATCGAGCAGACAAAAAACGAAAAGCGATGAAAAAGGATGAGAAAAACTGCTCAGTTTTATCTTAATATGTTCATAAAATGGAAATATTCTTCATTCGTTGAGTTTCTTCTTCATCAATGCTTTCACTTTTCATATACTTAGTGGATCTTCTTACTTGACCACTCTCAAGCGTGAAATCTTCATTCCTCCTCAAAACTTTTGATCGAAAGTTTTTTCCTTAAATTTTTGGGGTTGAATGCGGCGGGCATAAAACTTTTCAATCTTTATTGGATTACCCCAAAGGCGAAGACGAAGAAAATTTACTCAAGTGTGCTTCCTTTGGAACGTGATGGTATGAAGAACAAAGAACAATAAGTTCAAATTTGAGTTGAAATGAATATCTCATGACCTCTGCTTTATAACTTACAGAAAAAAAATGAAACAAAGTTTCCGGACTAACAAACCAAAAACAGAAGAACAAAAAATAACAGGCACGTACGGACATTGAGTCTAAGATTGTGACTATTGGTTCCACTTCGATTTTGCTACTTCTTTTAAGGACGTATCGGTTTGAGTGGCTGTAATGGAGAAATCGCATTATGATTAATCGTCTTTTGTTTCTCGAAAGAGAAGTTCCATCAGCCAATTTCTAGAGACAAAAACTGATTTTTTATCATCGACATCGACAGACTTGCCTTCTTCAATAATGAGATCGAGATGAAACAAGAAATTTTCTTCTCTTGAGCGCATCTTGTTCCGTTTCTTTTTATAGAATTTTCCTAATTCTGTTATTACTCTTTCCGATACATTTTCGGAAATTTTCACCCACAATATAGAATTACTTTAATGTTTCAAATCATTAAGATGGATTACATTTAAAGAATTTCTTGAAATTGGCTTTGGAGCAAGTTGCATACTCTTGATCTATTATTTAACTTTTGATAAATAAATTTTCTTTGCTTTTCGAAATAAAAGATAAAATAAACTTCCATTTCACAGATCAAACAAACAAACAAAGGTGAAATAGAAAGAAGAAGAAAGTAATTTTGATTTCTCAACGATGAGTTTATTAGATTAGGAATATTTCAACTGTGAAACATCGAATTCTTTCATCAGTAATAGAGACAACCTAAATAACTTAAGTGGCGCCCAACGCGTGTGTCACGTCCTCAATATGAGACGTGAAACATTCTCTAAAAGCTTCTCAAGTTTTCAGAACATTAAAATAAACTTATTTCTACGTGTTGAAACTAGATGGGGGAGATTTAACATTGACAGTGTCATCAACAGGTTTTCAATTCCTGCAAGTTGGAAAAATTTTCAAGTGATTTCTTTTTTCATACGTTTAAACTTTTCTTGATGCGCGATGTTTAGACTACATTAAATCTAAACTGTCGAACACATAAAATCAATGTTACTCAAGAAATGTTAAAGTAGATAAGATATTTTATTTTTTAGGGAAAACTCTGTGATGGGTGTTGTCAGGCTGAGAAAAATTTAGCGGAACGTAGGCGCAGGTAAATATTTTTTGATAATTCTTAGTCTGGATTTTATTTTACTTCTCCATCTGATGGTTTCTTTTAAGGAACTTTCTTGAAAGTAAAGAAAAAAGGAAGAAAAAAAATTCATCAAAATTCTGTTTGATCATAACGAAAGAGAAAGTTTTGGGTCCTTGGTGAATTTTCCTTTTTTCCTTTTTTTCCTTTTTTATGATTGGTAAATGGAGGTTTTCTTTTTTGTTTGTCTGGTCATAAATATTGATTTAAGTTACATCAATGTTAAAAGATTAATCAAAAAAATGAATGCCATCTGGGAGTGATTGAATGATTGATCCGTTCAATTTTTATTTGAGTTCATGAAGAAATAAAATAACCAATTTAGTTTAGTGACTTGAAAATCGGTAAATAATGAGAATCTTATTAAGTTTACACTTTTTCCCTTGTCATTAATTCGAGTTGGAAAGTTATTTAAACGTTTTCATGCTATGTTTAAGATCCTCTTAATTACAATATTTTTAATTAAATTTATAAGGCTATTAAGGAGGAATGAAAGCTTTAAAGGAAGCTTTGAAATTTATGAATGGAAAACATTTTAATGCGTGAAACTCTGTTGAATTTAGAACCCAGAACTTGCATAGTTTTCATAATCGGATCACTACATATGTGCATGCATCATAAATATCTAATTTCCAATTTCCATTCCAACTTTTCCCTTTTAATTAACGGTCAAAAATATTTTTCCTGCTTTTATTTACCGAAAATGGTTTATGAAAACTAATTATAATGTAAAAACAATTCCCTTGATATTTATCGACTTACATATTATGTTGAAAGCAATATCGACTTTACTAAATTCAATCACAACTCGGTTTACGTCATTATGTTTATTAATTAATCATATTTTTAGTCAATCAAGTTTATTATTTTGAAATAAAGCAGGAAATTCTATTAACTGTTCATCATTATTCCGTATGTCAGGAAACATTTAACACACATTTCATTGAAAAATTAATTAAAAATAAAAATTCAATTAAAACGTCTGAACTGGTTTGGCAGTTTTTAATTTTGTTTCACTTGAAATTATTTTTATTCAAACATTTCTACATAAATTTACATGTAACTTTAAATGACTCGCATGACCTTCAATGCAATGGCATACTCGGCATTATTTT